TGGAATAGGCCAGCAGTTTTAAATTTCCGAATTGCCGGTAGAGTACACCACCAGCAGAATTTTAGGAAGAATCAAATACAGCGGCCCGCATACCTAAGCGTATCCTAGCAACATATAAACAAGACTTTGGTAATGTTGCCAGGCGTACTTACGGATTTCTTTTGTACACTTTTTTATCAATATCTGTTTTTTGCGTTACTGTATTTACTTAAATGTATGATGTAGGTATTGATAAAAATGTTTTTAAAGAATCAACGAATATCTATGTATGTATCATATGATATTCTGCAGTGGTGTTACAATTAAGTTATTTAATCATAATTTCGTTAATTAGCTACCTACTATTTTCATTTTTTGGTATTGAAATACTGCAGAAAATATATTTCCAAATAAACAAAATTTGTAATGATATTTTAAACAGCTTGTAATATAATTTTTTTAATGTTTGATGATGACGATAAATTTATTTAATATACAAGATGGGTTATTAGTACGTCGCGGAATGTAGGTACAGGTTTTCTTTTTTGTATTTTGACATCCACTTATAGGTTTAATAATTAAAGATAGAAATAAACTTTAAATACAAATGTACGACTTTTCCTTTATTTCTTTTGACATCAAAATTTGCTGGCATACAATATATGTTTAAAATAAAAAAACCATTAAAAAAATTAAAATTCATCCTTATGAAAATAACAAACAACGATTTTTATCAACTAACCTTTACAACAACATAAGGAGAATACCTAAAAACGAAATAACATTAAAATACAATACAATTTTTACAAATCAACATGCAAGTAATTGTGATGATACAGTTGAAAATATGTTTTAATTTGCTATTAATTGCTTCAAAAACAAATTCAAAATTATCAAACATTTCGTCCTGTATTTTTCTTTCAATACTTGTAAATTTTCAGGTCTTTTATAATATATTTTGTTGCAGTGTCCTCACAAAAATATGTCTAAAGGACTGAGATCCGGGGATGTTTTCTGGCCACCTAAGGTTTCTAATAATAATTTTTAGTGTTCATTGACGGCATTCTTCCTTCAAAATAATTTTACCAATATTCCTGAAGAACTTTTGCACATTATTGTTATTTGAATAATACAGTTAATTATGTTTTATTTTTCGTCATCAGAATTGTAATCATTGTAATTTTTTTAATTTTTTAAATTAAAATGGGTTATTCTAATAATGATAAATCCCATGTATTTTTAAAAGTAGGTTCGTTTCTGTCTTTTTGTCTGATTGTGTGCGAGAGAGATAGAGTTATAGTGTGCGATAGAGATAGAGTGACTCTGTCCTCATAGAGGGCTTCTTTCTCTCTCTCTCAGCTGTCTTCAGGAATCTCTGGGACTTCCCCAGCAATTTCAGGACACCTAGGGAGGGAGCGTGGGGTAGAGCGCGTGGCCTTTTTAGCCTTCGTTATCGATCTATGATGTCACACAGTATGAGAAAAAAAAACGGTTTTTGCTCGTAACTCGGAAAGTTTCAATTGTCGTTTTNTAAATTTGCCAATATTCCTGAAGAACTTTTGCACATTATTGTTATTTGAATAATACAGTTAATTATGTTTTATTTTTCGTCATCAGAATTGTAATCATTATAATTTTTTTAATTTTTTAAATTAAAATGGGTTATTCTAATAATGATAAATCCCATGTATTTTTAAAAGAAGGTTCGTTTCTGTCTTTTTGTCTGATTGTGTGCGAGAGAGATAGAGTTATAGTGTGAGATAGAGATATAGTGACTCTGTCCTCATAGAGGGCTTCTTTCTCTCTCTCTCTGCTGTCTTCAGGAATCTCTGGGACTTCCCCAGCAATTTCAGGACACCTAGGGAGGGAGCGTGGGGTAGAGCGCGTGGCCTTTTTAGCCTTCGTTATCGATCTATGATGTCACACAGTATGAGAAAAAAAAACGGTTTTTGCTCGTAACTCGGAAAGTTTCAATTGTCGTTTTTTATTTTCCACTTATCCTGTTTCACAGAACTTTTGAACCAAACTGGCGACGTAAACATCGGAGGTGTGTTTATTTGCTTGACACTGATTAAATTCTTACCGTAAGCCGTGCATTATCATTGTTTTTAAAATAGAGATAAATTATTTCAACCCTTTCGTCATAAGTAATTTTTAGAATTAATAATTACTAAACACACTTCTGCTAAACACTTTTCTTTGAGAACTGAATAGCGACTAAAATATATTGACTGGTAAATTTGTTATCAGTACCAATTTTTTTTTCATTATTCAAAATACCTTTTATTTGTAAACAGTTTTTACAGTGAAAATAAATTGAAACTTTTTATAGTTTTCCCTTTGGCATTTTGAACAATTAATTAAATGATTAATACAAAAATGTCTTTTATTTCTAGGCATAAGTAATTTTTTTTTTCAACAACAGGAATTAAAATTGAAAAAAATTACATGATGACAACCAGAATTAAAAACACTTTCGAATGAGGTGTCACTCGACCTAGAGTGCCATTTAAGATTCTAAAGTTGAATGCGCCCCCGCGAAGGGGGTTTTTCTGGTGAGTCTGTATTTAACGCTAAAATGTGTCCCCCTCGAAAACAAAATTGACGTGTCGCGGCAATTTTAATATTTTGGTACGTAGTTCAAAATAATCCTGGTGCAAAGTTTTTAATGGTACACCCTGTATATATTTTGTTAATTGTATACGGTTATGGTTCATTGTCTTAAACATCGTTGAAGTATTGTCTCTTTCCTATAAAAGACTTATGTTATAAACACTTAATAATTAGTACAGTAAAACAAACATTCTTTAATATGAAATATATTTGTAATTTGTGATCACTGTTACAAATACATTTCTAAAATTAATGTTTTTTTTTCTAAGGCCATACGATACTTTCTATCCAGGAAAGGTAATAATAAACTCTCGTATATACACCTGGATAGTCTTGGTCTGAGTATCCACAGGGTAAACCAAAAGAGGTGACTCCTACGATACTGTATACTCGAGTGGTTCCGTAAAATTCTTTAAAAGCTTGCAGAGGTCCTCCAGAATCACCCTGTAAATGTAATAATATTAGGTATGAGTATTAACACTTTATAATATATTACAAAATTAAATTTAAAGCGAAAACATTTTGCTATATGCTAATTTTATTTATTTCAGAACTACGAAATTTATATTTAAAGATTTTTATAGCTAAATATTTCAATGGTATTGCTATAGATACCCATATCATCACATTAAGCATAGGGTATATGGGAGTACGCCTATTACATGAGTATGATACTCCCCTGTATTTTGATCCGCTGAAGATCATAGAGTCATCAGAAATGTTCCACCACGTCAAGATTTTTCCCTAAACTCAAAAAATAGCACAAAATCAGTGGAATTTTCGATTTTTTGTTAAAATAAAGATTTTGAAATTAAACTACACAGTCGTGTTAATAGAGTTAAAATAAAAACTTTTTATTGCTGAACTTTTCTCTCTAAAATTTTAAATCAATTTTTAGCATTATTAAAATGCCTATAACTCCTCAAGGATGCATTTTAGAGAAAAAAGTGCAAGAATAATATTTTAATTTAAAAAAAAATGTGTGCATCTGCTATTATTCCGCTATTTGTTGAATAATAAAGAGAGTGGTAATATAGTTTATGATACAGTTTAACTAAATTGTAAATGAAAATGGCCCTAGGACACTGTCCCGAGGAATTCCAAAATTATTAACAGTGAACGTTGAGAACGTATGATTATTTATGGTAATTATTTTTATCGCTTTTTAAAATAAATACATAGAAATTAAATAAAAATATTTACTTATCTAATTAATTGAAATATTTTTTAAAATCATTACCTTGCACGTATCTTCATTATCTGGACCGACTGCACAAATCTGAATGTCGTCTCTAATCCCGATTGGCAACTTGGAAGTTTTCTTATAACTTTCCTTACAGACGATGTGAGGTTTCACATATACGTTACCTTTCAAAAGGTAACTATTATGACGCCCGGCCAACTCAGTTTGACCCCAACCAGTGATCTTTAACATATGTTGTTCATCCACTTCCTTATGATTGTCCAAGCAAGCTATGGCAACGTAACCGCTTAATGTCACTTGTTTCTCTAGCTCTATCAAACCGATGTCGTGGTAGTGGGTGGACGTATTGAATTCGGGGTGTGGAAACAATTTTTTAATTCCAATGTCTTGTGGATTCGCATCGTCCATTTCGGTGGATGTGTCCAATTCCCCCAAACGGACAACTCTATGTTACGTAATTGTGAATAGAAATCAGTGCATCAAAAGTGAAATGAAGATGATTTTTTGCAATTTAAAATAATAAGTGTGTAAAAACATCTGAATGAACGTTCACTCTCTGTTGTTTTTGTTATGAAAAGCTGTTCTAGCAAAATTGTCACAAAATTGAAGGGTTCTAAGTAAATGGCATGAACATATGACCCCAGACAAAGTAATCAAGAGGATTAATGTCGGGTAACCGTTGAGGCCATGATACAAGACTTCCTCTGTCTATCTATTTTGGTAATAGTACAGTTACTTATTTTTGAGTTACTTGACCACCAAAACTTTGAACTTTTAGGATTCGTAATTAAATTCGGTACGTTTTAGATCTTTTTCCCTAAATTCCAGCGTACAAAAAAAATATAGAGCATATTCCATGTAAAGAAATGAAGTTGAGTAACGCCCATAAGACGTGAAATATTGTAGAATTGATAATAATTTGAAAATATTAAATTAATTTGGTGCCACTTTGAAACGCTGCTATTATTGAGCTCTGGAAAAATCCGTCTTGAATGGAACACACCAGCGTACTCAAGTTTCCCTCAATGTACTTACAATTTGTCCGAAATTAAGCAGTGTGCCGCAGTCAAAACGAAACTATGACTGATTAAAGATCCTCCACAGAACCATTGAACAAAACTATTATTTTTTTTAACCCTCCCAATTAGTGCCTAGAAATATAAAATTATTTAATATCGCTTCATAGATCAATAATTAGAATTCATGTACCATGTGTGGAAATTCTCTTGCGAGGGTCTGCTTTCCCTTATACAGATGATGAACATCATATTCTGGGGCGGATTGTCCAGATAATGGATTTTGCTCATATCTTCTCCTGCGTGTCATATATGGAATCGGAGTCGGTGGATAGTACGTCCCACATTCTGAAAATCATGTTTTGTTTTTAAACTTATACTTTAAATGAATAGGCTATTGATTATAGGATTTTAAAAGGATCTATGACGTGGAAGATATTTTATTACGTGAATCATTCAAATGGTCAGTTTAGATGAAAAAACCGAGGAGTGCTATTAAATTAGAGGTTGGAAATTGGAGATAGGGGGTGGAAATACACCCCTTTCGGTTTTTTAATTTAAGCTCGAAAACGAAGCAAAATTTCACTATGGTTCATAGGAAAAATTATTTAGAAAATTGAATTTCCCAAATGGCTTATTTAAAAAAATTTAAAGGAACATTTTATCCAAAAAATCGTTAATAAACAATTTGACAAAAAAGGAAAAAATTCGATTTTTTTTTACTTGTTTGCCTCTAGTTTTTTTTTTGGGTAGAGATAGGTATGGCTTCATAAAAAACAAAATAGATAAAATTTCCTTCAAAATAAGAGGTTGTAAAGTATTTTTGGTTGAAAATTGATTGATATATGGCCGCTCAAACTTACAATTATCCAATTTTCCGATTTTCGTCGCGTTTACCCTTATACGTTTTAATTCTCATTTTTTGCAAAAAAGAAAGGAATAACACGTTCAAGGATTTTCTTCACATGACTTGTTCGAAGGGTAATTAAAAATGAAAAAAACACATTAAATTAGAGGGTTGAAATTGAAGATAGGGGTGAAAATGCACTTTTGCAGTTTTTTAAATATAGCACGAAAACTAAGCAAAATTTCGGCATAGTTCATAGGAAAAATTTTGTACAGAATTGAATTTCCCATCGAAATGGCTTATTTAAAGGAAAATTATTACGCAAAAAATCGTTAATAAACAATTTAAAAAAGCAAATAATAAGATTTTTTGATTTTATTTACTTTTTTTACTATAAGTTGTGAAAATCTTTATTTATTATTAACAAATAAAACTTTTGAAATAATTTTTTATTAAGTAAAAAACTAATTTCTTGTAAAAATAATAAGAATTATAATTATTATGGTAAAAACGACGAAAATCTAAAAAATATTTAAGTTTTAACAGTCAATGTTAGTCCAAAAACTTCTGAAAACGCATCTTTTTGAGGAGAATCTCATAGAGTTTTTTTGTACAGCAATTTTTGCCTACTTCTACTAAAAAAAATAGTGTCAAAAAGTAAAAAAATCAAAAAATCTTATTTTCTTTTTTTAAAATTGGTCATTAACGAATTTTTGCATAATATTTTTCTTAGGAACCATACCGAAATTTTGCTTCGTTTTAGTGCTATATTTAAAAAACTGCAAAAGTGCATTTTCATCCCTATCTTCAATTTCAACCCTCTAATTTAATAGGAGCCCGTGTTTTTTTCATTTTTAATGACCCTTCGAACAAGTCATGTGATGAAAATCATTGAACGTCTTATTTCCTTGTTTTTTGCAAAAAATGAGAATTAAAACGAATAAGGATAAACGCGACGAAAATTGAAAAGTAATCTAAGTTTGAGCGGCCATATATCAGTCAATTTTAATCCAAAAATACTTTACAACCTCTTATTCTGAAGGAAATTTTATTTACTTTTTTTTCTATGAAGCAATGCCTATACCTATCTTTACTCAAAAAAAACTAGAGGCAAAAAAGTAAAAAAAAATCAAAAACGTTTTTGCAAAAAAATTTCAAAATAATTTTTCCTATGAACTATAGTAAAGTTTGCTTCGTTTTCGAGCTACAATTAAAAAACTGAAAGGGGTGCATTTTCACCCCTATCTCCAATTTCCACCCTCTAATTTAATAGCACTCCGCTGTTTTTTCATCTGAAAGGACCCTTTGAACGATTCATGCAATAAAATTGCTTGAACGTCATAGTTCCTTTTAACCCTGTTCTTTGGATATAATCAATAGCTTATAAGTAGGATGTTCCAGATTAATCTGCAAGAGGATCGATGGTAGTAGGGCATCTTTGTCTAGAGGGCAGATTTGCTAAATACATACTTAGTAAAAAACCTACATGTTGAATACCAAGGTGATTGTAATTTAGTTTTAACCAAAATCGATATATCCATTTGTTGTTGTATTTTAATATTTTTAATTTAATATTTTCTTTAAAATGGTCTGCCCGAAATAACATTTCCCGCACGTTTTTCCTAGAAAACGGTGTTACTCTTTCCTAGTGGGGTGTTTCCTAAGTACGGTCCGTAACTTCAGGACACAATTTCTTATGGTGTTTAAAGAAAAAAAGTTCCCATAAACATGTGGCCGGAAAACACTTAGATCCCGAGATAAAGGGTGTTGAAAATTTTAAAAAATCTGTTAATATTTGAAATAAATTTGGACCAGTCAATGTTAGGTTCTTTTTTTGCAGTTATTGTACGTTGGTAAAGAGTTGCATTTTTAGTATAAAGTCAATTTTTATCTGTCGCCAGTGGCGAAGTTAGGCGTCAGTCAGTCGACGTTAGCATCATGAAATGTAGAACGCCAATGGATTTTTAAATTTTTTTATTATTTTCGGACTCTCCTCGATTGACTCACGCCTAACTAAGCCACTGTCGGCAGATAAAAATTGCAGTTCTTTACGAACGTACAATAAATGCCAAATTTTAAGAACCTAACATTGACTGTTCCAAATTTATTTCAAATATTAATATATTTTTAAAAATTTGCAACACCTTGTATCTCGGAATGTATAGGAACATTTTTCTTTAAATGCCGTAAGAAATTGTGTCCTGAAGTTACGGACCGTACTTAGGAGGCAGCCTGTATAATGTATGTTACTTTTCTCGCTTAATTCACCAGCTCTTCTAGTCTTTGGCGATTTATCATCGATATTTCCTGTCGATTTGTTACTTCTACTGCGATCTGTGACAGATGAGTGTGATCCGTGGTGAGTGGTATTCACATATATATCCACATGAATTCCATCCGATGCACCTGAAGCAGATTGTTGGGGAATAAATAATACGAAATAAGTAAAATATTTACCATACATTTGCATGTTAGACTCGACGTTAGTGTAGTATCTGAACTGATATTCACGACAATATTAAAAGCTTTCACAATTACCAAACAACACATTAAGATCACCGGGATTGATCTCATATTTTTCGCCATTTTAAATGTTTATATTTATTTAAACTAACTGGTGCAAATACTTTGACCATGTTTATAAATCTTCTTTAAATATTATCTTCCCAATGCTGATAACCCTATAACAACTATAAAAATTCTAGTAGGATATATGTACAGGGCGTTTAAATTTGATCTGGTACACTGTGTGTATCATGACATCAGTTAATATTAATTATTGCATGTACAGGGTGATTCACTATATTTTGACCCCCCTTTAACTTTTTTGTTTTAAGAGTTATAAAAAAATGTTAAATATAAAAGTTGCACGATTTTTTATGAATTTTTAAAAAATGATAGTAGAAAAACAAATGAAGACCAAACAAAATGGCCGCAGATGTTAACTTGTTAAGTTAAATGGAATACCCTGTATATTTTTACATATTTGGATAGAACGTTCCCTGTAGAGCATAGCCATATAGGGTTTGTTGTTGTTGTTGAAAAAGGTTTAATAATTACAAGATGTCTTATTTTCTTAATAAAAAAACCTTCTTTTCGTTTTTTAATAGTATCTCGCTTATTGTTAGCGTTGGATCCAACAAACCCTACATGATTATGCTCGACAGGGAAGGTTCTATCCAAATATGTAAAAATATACAGGGTGTTCCATTTAACTGCAGGCAGATTTTGCTCTGGAACCTGCAAGGGGCCTCCAGAATCACTCTGCAATTGATATACAGGGTGTTAAGAAAAGTTGGATTAAAATTTAAGGGGATGAAAGTAGAGTCAAAAATAGTAAAAACAGCTCCTATAAACATTGGTCCTCCGGAGTACCGTTACGGAGATATGGCCCTCCAAAGGGGTCTTATCATTTGGACATTTTTTAAAATAACTTTGTTTCTGATTAAGATAACGGAATGAAAATTGAAGGTAATAATTACACCATAAGGGTCTTTAACTACCATAAGTTTCATCAAAATCGGTCATAAATAAGGATAGTTTTGTAACTACTGTTAAGAGAAATTTTTCGAATTTTTTTTATTCCTTTGAATTATCAAGCAAATAATATTATTTTTTAATGAATTGAACTTTTTTGAAGAAAAAATGTATTTACTTTTTTTTTCGAATTCTGCGTAGTTTAGTCATGCATTACAACAGATTTTGATGAAACGTATTGTAATTAAAGACCCTTATGGTATGATTATTACCTACAATTTTCATTCCGTTATCTCAATTAGAAAGAAAGTTATTTTAAAAAATATCCAAATGATAAGACCCCTTTCGAGGGCCAATATTTATAGGAACTTCTTTTACTATTTTCGGCTCTACTTTCACCCCCCCTTAAATTTTGTACCAACTTTTCCAAACACCCTGTATGGCTCAGTGAAGAATTAGAATATTCAAAAATGTTCACATGTTGAAGAATTTTTCCCTCAATTAATCTTTAATTTTATACTATACCTATACTTAGTTTTATTTGTTTAATATAAAAATGCATTTTTTTGCATTAACCACAAACGAGACGATTCCAAAATATGCAGCCTAATTGAAACAGGTTTTAAAAAATATCTCATTTCAAGTAAAAGTCTTTCTGTGGACAAAAGCCGCAAACGACAGACAAAGGGTGAAAAAAACCGATGCATCATTGATTTTATTGGACCTTAAATAATAGATGGTTAAAGCTTTATCTCTTATTAAATTTCTCCTATTTTAGTTGTTGCGATATATCACCAAAAGTTGAAACCACTGCATGATAGATTATCAGAATCAGAAGATAAAATATCATAATTTATTTTATGATACCTGTTTTTGAGATGTTCTTTCAGAAACATGCATTTTATCGGAGAAAATATGCTATTTGATAAAATCGTTACAATCTGTATAAAGATTTGTATTTCATATTTGACTTTGAAGTTACTTAAGAATTCTTTGAACGGATAATACTCCTGTACATTTTGTAACAGGAAAAAGTGATCCCACGTGAATTTTTAAATATATTTGTCATTACTTTCCGCCCTTAAGGTCGTTTTTTTCATATCCACAAATTACAATATTCTGTTTGTTCAGTAGCCATTCTTTAATAATGGGAAAACTATTTATATTCCTGTATTTCCCTCTATGTCCTGTTGGAGCGCCACAATCGTCAGCTTCCTCTGAATCAGACATATTCAATTAACTACAGGTAGAAAAAATACATTTAATCACTAGTACCTAATATTTTATGTTAAAATCTAGTATGGTTACACTTATGGTACTTCTGTAATAATTGAGTGAGACATATGTATGTTACTACCTTGAGCTTCTACAGTTGCTAAACACCAGATCAACAGAATCTTTACTATTCTCATGTTTTTTCGATCCAAACAGAGACCGACTTTAGGATGAATGGAACATGTTCTATTGCGAATGAACGTTAAGTATATAGATAACGAATGATACAAGACAAAGAAATATTAAACTATTGTACTTGGATTTACATAACCATAACTTTTTTGTGTCGCACTGTATGTCATTTTTGACTAAAAATACCTATTTTCTATTCAATTTTCCGAGTTCATTTTGAATTAAACATTCTTGGAATATGAATTACAATATATACATAATTCTGACACTACTTTTTCAAACAAATAATTTTTATTGTTTATTTGGTTGCTATCGTTATGAGTTACTGCGCCTAAACAGTCTTGATTCAAACACGGTTCAAACGATTTCAAATATAAATTAAATTGTTGTAGATATATAACACAATTGTCTTATTTTATTGCAGTTTTAGAAAAAAATATTGTTTACATCTGAATAGAAAAATAACTATTTACTAAGTAACATTTCTCCTTCATTATGTGGCGTTTGTGCATTTTAATGTAGATATTTGGAAAAAATTTAGGGGTTTACGGAAAATACTATCTCTGAACACCTGTCTACCGGACTATTTCTTATTTGGTCGCAATATATGCACAATGAACTTGCTCGTATTAGTTAAAGATTTTATGATAGGGAAAACTAAGCCACATATCAGAAATTAGCTTGACCTTAAGACAATAACAATTTATTAACCTTTAACCCAATAAATATATAGATAAGAAAAAACTGTGTTTAAAACATTTGACATAATAAATTCGGAAATACCTAATACAAATACTATACAACAACGATAATTTATTTGACGGTTTTTCAAAATCAACACATTCGTTTTAAAATATCTTGTTTGTTCCTATGAGTAGGGCCACACGATACTCTCTATCCAAGACAAATAATTGTATACTCTAGTGTATACGCCGGGAGTAGCTGACAGTCCACAAGCTTTACCAAAAGACGTTACTCCCACAATATCGAACACTATGATGGAGGAAGACCTTTCTCCGTTTATAACCTGGAGAGGTCCGCCAGAGTCGCCCTGTAATTAAAATTTTTAATAAACAATACTAAACAGAAAGAAATACCAAAAAATTACTTGACAAGTATCTTGATCTTTAGTCCCTCCTGCGCAGATCTGAGCATCGTCCACAATTCCAGAAGGCAAAAGAGAAGGGCTTGTCTTTTGATACGCTGATCTACAAACACTGTTAGGCACAACGTTGAAGTTAGCTTTCAGGAGATGGCTGCTGGGGTTTCCAAGGAATTCCGTTCTTCCCCATCCCGTAACCGTCATCTGAGTCTCGTTATGTTCCCTGTGGGTATCCAGGCAAGCTATAGCAACGAATTCCGTTAGTTTGACTTTCCTGTCTAATTCTATTAAGCCGATGTCGTGGTATCTCGCTGGTCTCCTGTATCCTGGGTGAGCGAATGTCCTTTTTACGTCGAAGTCTTGAGGAGCTGCTTCGTCAGTGTCACTTGCTATGTCTAGGTCACCCAAACGGACGAATTTTGCGGCACCGCTATAAAGATAAATTTGTAGTTATAGAAGATATATGTGGCGAAGTCACTACTACTATTATTACTTAGAATGTTCCAGAAATGGGTACCAAAATGCAACCACGTATTAAATTTATTAACAGCAACAAATTTTGTTGTTTGTTAATTATCTCTGTGCAAAATTCACATTTTTGTTCTGTAATTTTAACTATTAAGGAAGTTTATCGGGTACGGAGGTACGCCTAAAGTATAACGAGAGTTTCTGTAGATTTGCTAGTGACTAAAGTAGTAAGCTTTTAGATTTGGCAACGTTGCACTTGGCTGTTTGGATGCATAAGCTTGAGAAATACATCATAAGTCACACCTGCGAATTTCAAATAATACGCTACTTCGAGAACCGCGGTGTTGCCGCTATCGCGCATATGGAGGTTATGTTAAGTACCTAATCGATTTCTACGGTTCCTTAGATATCGGTTTCCTATTTATACAAGTTGCTGTGGAAACTGTTCGTCAATTGTTTCGCATTCTAAGTGGAAAGACCAAAAAAACTGCATTGTCATAAGACTCTGTATAATACTAAATCGTGAACAATTATTTTATTAATATCTCGTCTCTAGGTATCCAAACTAGTCATAATTTTTTTTGAGGATTTTCTTCATATTAATAAGCTTATATCAATTTTTTTTATGAATATTTTAGTTTTTTTTTTAAATCTATTACAATAAAGAAAAATTAAGTATACACGATCAGTCAAAAAGCCATGACGAAACAAAGTTGCTTTTTCTTTAATGGAACACCCTGTATATTATTCCATACTTCAATACCTCTCGAAATTCTAAACAAAATTCATATAGTCCATCCTAAATGGACTAAATCCTAAACCTAAATTAAGATATGGAATAATATACAGGATGTTCCATTAAAGAAAAAGCAACTTTGTTTCGTCATGACTATTTGACTCATCCTGTATATTTAATTTTTCTTTATTGTCATAGATTTTAATAAACTCTAAAACGTTTGTATTTTGTAATTTTTCGATAGCCACCTTACTATCTAGGATCTAGGAGATAATCGACCGTTTCCATATACATACATCAGTACCCTGTATATTGTATCTAAGTTAGACAAATATGGGTTTAAAGGGAATTAATTTCATATTTTAAAAGTTGTTTATGCCGTAGAAGTCTTGCACTAATAATTGACAATGTCAATAAACGAAGGAAATCAATTACCTCAGAGTACAGTTCTAGGCCCTGTATTTATTTACGCTGTAAATTAATGATTTGTTTGTTACTCATAGCATTTTATCATATAAAACGGCTATTTTTTATTTAGCTGAATCGACTTGAATTGAGAAATAAAGTAAATAATGATCGTAAATAGACTAGTTCTAATCTGGTACTAAATTAGTTACCATTTTCATCATATGTCAGTAACTTGTCTTTTTAAAATGTGTTCCAGTGTGACAAATTCGTTGAAATTTAAGTAAACAAATACGTAAAGTATTTGGGAATAATAATAAATTGATAGTTGAGTTGGGATTCAGATAAATAATATTAAATAAAACCATATATTTGTGTATTACTGAAATAAATTACAACTTAATTCGTATTATTCACTTATATTTACGCGATATAAATTTTCATACTTGGTTCTGGGCATATTTTAAATTCTAAAAATATTGTCTGTAGATGAAAAAATATAAAAAATTGAATAAATTGGAAAACACTGAAAATAAATTAGAAATGAACAGAAAGTTTGGTTATATTTAAATAGAAAGTAATTTTTTGAGTTTCTTGCAGATTTGTTTTCGTTTTTCTGCATTTTTTATTATTAGCTAGATATAATTAGTTATTGTACTTACAATTCCGATGATCCTAAGCAGTGCGCTGCTGTCAAAATGAAAGTGTGGCTAATTAGAGATCCTCCACACGACCACTGAATGTCATTTCTGTCACCAAACCCAATTATTGCCTACAATACAATTTGTTTCATATTATGAACTCGTTTGTTATCCACCTTACCATATGTGGAAATTCCTTCGCAAGGGACGGTTTTGCTGCACCAATAAGTATGAAATATTTTTTATAAGGATAGTACTCTTTACATTCTACAAAAAAGATCTTTAATACAAACTCCAAGTCATTTTAAAAAATTCTTACTTGCAGCACTTAACACGCCAGTTTCACTGGATGTTCTGAACTCAGCTTCGATGCAACAAACTAGTGGATTATTTTTTTCAAATCCGCATGTCTCCGGATACTGCTTGTTCTTCAACAGTTGTCTGGCATACGCACAATCGTGTATATTTACGCACGACCCTTTTTGTCCAGTCGGAAGGTTGCAGTCGTCGCCTTCTTCTGTTATAGAAAATTAATTTGTACTTAAAGTAAATGATTTCCAATCAAAGTCTGTGAGAAAACTCTTGTTCTAATAACAAGAATATTACAAGTAATATATAATAATATAACAAACATGTTTACCACAATACGAATAATTTTTTACAATGTCGGAATATATGAATTGTTAATTAAATCGTAAAAGTGAATATTACCTAGGGATTCTACACTTGCTAGAAACAACAGAAAGAAAACCTCAACCGTTCTCATCTCGCGAAGAATGTTTACTACACACTTTTGCTCTATCTACATACCTTCTCAAACAGGTATTCCCATTAGGAAAACTTTATTCATGGACATACGAAATAATGCGAAATGGGAAGAGTGAGAGAATATTCATTAATTCGTTTACTTGCCAGTGTTAATGAATGTGAAATATTACGAGTGAACAATATTTCGCGTGATACAATAAACAAATTTGGCAGAACTGTGATTTAAACATAAGTATATGTTTCGGCGATTTATACGAGGGGATTCAAAAGTTAGTAAGTATATTACAAATTGTGTATTAATATGTGAAATATTTACTTTATCTTTTGTTAATATCTATAAGTAGTACCAAAAACACTAGTACATAAAATAATGCCTTTGTTGGAGCACTTCAGGTTATGTCGGAAGTAGCCATCTACTTGTATATTTTCCATATTTGGATTCCACACATAATTTTAGGGGGACTTTTATGAATCTTGCCTATATCTGTCTCTAATGGTATTCGAGATATTTCAATTAAATAAAAAAAAGTTGCTTTCCGATAGCCTAATTCAAAAATGCCTATGTTTTACATCATGCAAATTGAACCATTGATATTGACAGTTAGGGGCATGCCTATCCTTTGTTACAGTTATTTTAGAAACTGTTTAATTTTACACAGGGTGATGGAAATTTATTGTCGAAATTGCTTATCTTTATGTCAAAACGTATACAGAATTATTATCATGAAACGTCTATAATCATCGCAATCATAAGATTACACAGAACAATTAGCAACTAAGTACTTAAAGAATAATTACCTGCTAACTAATACCGGTTAAACACTCTCTCACTTCAACTATCTAGGCTTCCTTCTAGAATTCCCCACCTACCCCACCGTTTGTTTTTGCGCTTCCTTCTACCAACTGTCAATATTACGTTTTAATTATTGTACAACACCCACGTAACAGGTGACGTCGAAGTTGATGAGATAAGTATGGTTTTGCACAATATTATAGGGGCGTAAGATTAACAGTTTTGATAATACAGCGAGTATTAATATTGGGGAGTTTCATCACAACGTGACAACAGCGCTTAACCTAACGCTACACAGCTGGCGCATACCACGTGTGCACGCGGCAGACTTTATCCTACGGAAAAAATGTAAACAACTATTATTGTGCGTGAAAACCCCGCCAAAATCAATTGAATTTGCACTATGTTATAGTTTTTGAGTTTCTGATAAAAAGTTATCATGAGCCCAAAGTGATCCTATGAATAGTTTCAGAGTTAATTGGGGGTGGGGGTGGGGGTGGCAGATGATTTTGGCTGTAGGACTGAGTAAGCTTCACGAAGTTTCAAGTTGATGGATTCAAAAACTGAGGCATGTAATGAATTTTGACCAGTAGGTACAATGGGATCGCTGTACTTCAATTCGGGAGTAGCTTAGCTATCTAAAGTCACCTGGAGGTCAGGTAATGGTCGTTTTAAGGTCAAACTGAAGAAAATACTTCTATTGAATTTTGACCAGTGAGTGTATAGGTTTTTGGGCTTGCAGAATCTGAATCTGACCCTAAAGGTCACCTTCAAGTCAATTCAAGGACATTTTAAGATCAAACTAAAGAAAAGGCTTGTATTGAATTTCAACCATTGCGTATATAAGTTTTCTTTGGAGGGAATTAAATTCAGGGATAGCTTAGCCCTACAAGGTTACATTTAGGTCAAGTCAACATCATTTCAAGGTCAAAGTAATGAAAAGGCCTTTCACGAATGTTAAACTGTAATGCTTCTGAGGTCGCTGATCTGAATTCGGGGATAGCTTAGCCTTATATAAGTTCACCTGGAAATCAAGTCAAGGTCATTTCATTTGACTTAATCTCAATTCAAGCCCCGCAGGTGAAGTTAAGCAAATTTGACAATAAATTATAACCGGAAGCAGTGGCATTATTTTAGTAAAAGAGAACAACCCCGAAAACCCTAAAGGCCAAATTTTCAAGATTAAAATCGAAGTAGTCTCTGAAATATTCTAATGGGCCGTCACCGTAAGACAGCCTGTATAATGTCCAAATATTCTTACTGTGATGACATCAAAATTTCATGTTTATATGCGTCAAATTTTTCGGTATATTCACCTCTTTTGTTACACACCTAAAGTCCATCTGAAAATGCCTTAAAGCTAGATGAACCTTGCTGTGGTTGATTCATCCTTCGACAGAGGCAAGTGCATTATTTTTTCAATTCAATCAAAATGCAGAGCTGAGCTCACCTAGAGAACCCACTAGGCTATGATGCACTAATAAACACACCTCTGATATTGTAATGACTGCATACATAACAGGAAACCAAAGAAGAAGTGATATAGATCAGTTATTTTATTTATTTTACGTTTGAAAATATAATATACATATATTTGTTTATTCAAATGTTATTACACCATATAACATTTTTATTTTCTCAATATTCTTTCCTGCTTTGCATCTATATTTACGAAATCTCCGTATCATTTTTAAGGTTTGTTATCCCCAATTTCATTACGATGGCCAAACAATGCTTTCAATCCATTGTAGATAGTTGTAAACTCTTGTGTATACACCTGGAGTCCTGGATATGCCACACGCCTTTCCGAATGATGTAATTCCGACAATATTATAATAATTATACCAACCCCGTCTGTTTTGAACTCTGATTTGTAGTGGACCACCGGAATCACCCTGCAAAAGCATATTGGAAATATCCACCCTACATCACAAAGAGCTTACTTAAAACATACAGTTTTTCTGTATTTCGTACCTGACAAGTGTCCTGCTCCGGTTTTCCCCCGGCGCAGATGTGCATGTCATCCACTATTCCACGTAGAAGTTCTTTTCCAGGCATCCCCGCGTAAGACTTGTTGCACGTGTGGTACTCCACAAGGTCCAAATCCGCTTTTAGAAGAAGATTACTGAAATCTCCGATGAATTCGGTCTTTCCCCATCCGATAGCAGTCATGCTCTTTTCATCGTGGTGTCTTGTTGTGTCTAAACAAGCCATGTTTACATAGCCAGTTCGTGTGATTTGCTTGTCTAATTCTACTAAGCCTATGTCGTTGTATCTGGATGGATTCTTGTATTCTGGATGAGGGATTCTTCTTTTGATGGTGAAGTTTTGTGGTTCGGTTTGGTCGGCGTCGGTGGTTATGTCCAGGTCTCCTAATCGTACGAATTTGGCGGGTCCCCTAAAGCAGAGAATCAAATTAATAATAAGTTTTGAAGGAAATCTTATACTTAACACGGGATAACGACGTTGCACCAAACTTTCAAGGCTGATCTAATCTATTTCTAGAAAGCTTTATCTCTGATTTATTAAATAATTCCTCATATCGCCATGGGCGTAGGTATGTAACAGTGTATTTATTGGACAGTTAATGGTACGCCATTGAATTTTTCATAAACTATAATTACTTACTTCCAAAATTTAAAGGTGTTAGTGGTGTACTTTTTTTTTCTCAACAAATACACTGTTATATACCGATCTTTATCTACGTCCTTATGAAAAATGATTTGATAAGCCAAAAATGACGCTTTCTAGGAACTACTATAGCTTTAACAACGAAAAGTTTCGGAAGAAATTTGTGAAGAATTCAATTTTTTTTTAACCAACTCATAACAAATACAAACAACCATTTTTTTCAAAATTTAACAACGATACTCATAGGAACTTTTTCTCTTGAAGTTAATTGAGAAATAATAATCATAGAGCCTCATAAAAAAAATGGCGGATCCGAAAGACAATATGTTTTTGGGGTCGCTGAATCCCAATCCGGGGTTCTAAACTCAAAAAAATTAAGTTAAGTTATGGGTAACAAAATTTGATTAAGATTAAAGATAGAAAGCTTTAACTCTGAACCTATGACTCTCGAGTTAATTGTTTTGACCCTCACTATTCCGGTATCGAGACTACTACTCATGATTGTGATATCAAACTATTTTGCTGTCAAAAGATCTGCGAATAGAATTTCTTTTACCTTTTCTCGACTTCGATGGTAAATCTCGTTTTAACGATCAGCAGTAATCGGCTAACATTTTTATATCGGATGTGCCATTTGTTGTCCATTTCCTTAATATATTGATGAAGTCTCTCTCCCTGCTCCTCACTGTAAACAAGGAAATAATCCTTGCCTAGGTTTTTAAATTCTACACTATTTTTTTCTTGTTTGGACTCTTTTGATCCTAGAAAATTTCCGATTAGTTCCTTACTAACAAAAATGTGGCCTTTTCACATCTTACGGATCACTTTAACTGGAGAAGAGCTCTCTTCTTTTTGATGAATCAATGAACAGCTTCCACTTGTTATGTATGAAGTGATTCATCAGTTCAACGATATTGCAGTAAACTAAGAAAAGAGAAATATTTATGAAATTCCTTATTTTTTTCTGTCCCGATAGTAAGAAACTTTCACTTTTCCGGCTTGCTTAGTATTTTTTTTTAGCTATGATGTTAGGAACTATAGTTCCTAACATCATGGCCTAAGATGGAGTAGACTCCATCCTCTGCCAGGCCCAAATCTCGAACATCATCTACTTTTTCTTGGGATATTGTTCCTGTTTTTTTCACAACGTGATATGGAATATATTCGTCGTCACTAGTACCACTAGCACTATCAGCCATGTTTCATTGTCACTCAAATTATCTTCTTCATTAATATCTTGGTGTAACCTTTCTCTCTGCTTAAGGAGGTATATCGGGGTCCAAGGAAAGTGAGGAGCGCAGGGGGAGTCGTATGCGTTTCTTATGGGCCCGAAAGCCCGCTGCCAATTTGAAAAAATTAAATTCTATTGAAATTATTTGCTATAAACATTATCTATATAGCAAAAAAATCTACTCATATGCACATAGCATACATATTGACTAATTAACAACATAAAAATATCATATTTTAAGTAGTTTTAGATTATTTTTAATGAACGCATAAAGACTATGTAGATGTGGCAACAGCGCTAATATTGACTAGCAGTACACACTGCGAACCTACAGACCTCGGACATCGGAGATATTGCGCGTCAAATTCGGGTAAAGATTCGTACGCGTTCAAAAATGTATTGTGTGTAAACTATGTACAATATAATTATTATATATAGCAAATATATCGTATTATCCTCGCGAAGATTTGTATCCTTTATTTAAAATCCATAAATCATGTGAACCGGTAAAACAACGATAATTGTTAATTTAGTTCTAGAAATGAAATGACACTCGCGCCCATCTCTCGTCCAAGTCAAAGAAAATGTTGGATGCAATTTTGAAGGTTCTGTGATAGAAATTACATTATTACTCACTGTTAGTGTTTTTAATCTCTATTTTAAGTAATGTTACAAAAGTTTTGCAACTATAACTAATTTTTTAGATATAAAGTTTACTGAGAAATATTTATGTTTCTTTGTTATTCTGTACAAATACTTTTATCTCAAGTATTACTAATTATATTAATCAAGTAAAGAAAACTTTATGTAACCCTAAATATTGCTGGGTAATGATTATGATGTTTTTATAAACCATTAAATATATTAAAAGGATTTATTAACTGTATTTTTTGTTTCAATAAATATATCACAGCTTCCTAGTCTTTTTTAATTAATTTAGTTTTTTAAAAACATTACAAAAAATCATCTGTTGTGGATAATTTATTGTTGATAACAATGTACATGGGATTTAGGAAAAATGTATATGTTTGAAATCAATTTCGTTTTTATCAAGTCTTTCACATGTATTCCCTCCTTGCTGTCACCTGATTGCGACGTTGTCACATTAATCCTCAAGTCAGACAGAAATGCATTTATTAGTTTCTGTTTCTAATTAATACAGCTGTACTAAGTTCAAAACTTATTTACATCAAAAATAAGATAATACTGTCTACTATTTATGGAAAACATTTTTTTCTTAGTTGTGGGCAAAAAAAGAGCCGCACCGTCCATCTTCGCCATATAAACCTATGTCAAAATGAACAACTTTCAACAACAATATCTCAACATCTAGATTCAAAAATAATTTCAAAAAAATATGACGCACAGAGGGAGCACTGGGTAATACGCTATATAAATTTCAAGTACATTTGTGCATTTGAGTAAACCCGATATAATACCTCCTTCAACCCGATCAAATTCTTCACTTTGGGGTTTAAAACCAAACGAATATTTGTAAGCATCTTTCGTATGCTGATTGACCTCTTTTCTATTAGAAAGTATTTACTTGACCTAATTGGGTCAAACTGATACCAGATTCGGATTCAGCGACCTCAAAAATAGATGGATACCATGGTGTTGTCTCTCGGATCTCAAAAACTGGGTCCTTTAACACGCAACGTCGTTGTTATTATCTGTACATAAGGCAGGAAACTGTTTTGATAGTCAGAAACTTAAAAATATTTGCAAAAGTATTGAAAATATATTCATTTATCACAATATCTACCTCTGTAGGTAATTTATCAATCTATCTGAGACGCAGTGAAATTGTACAACTATACAGATATTAAACAAGTTTTTCAAGTGTTGAGTTGAATGACTATGAAGAGTCAATAAACTTTTACTGGCCATAAAAAGGGTACTTACAGCTCTCTAGAAAACAAGCAGTGGGCTGCTGTTAGAACAAAATTTCTGCTAATTAGTGATCCTCCGCATTGCCACTGGATGTTATCTTTATCACCAAAACCTATAACCGCCTGAAAATAATGTTTTTCATCATTTACAACAAATACCACTTCGTATAAATGTTTCTGGACATTCGAGAAAAGACTTACCATATGAGGAAATTCTCTGACTGCAGACGGTTTGCCTCCTGGAACTAACACTTCCACATCCTGTTCGTCTGGTTTAGGATAATACTCATTACATTCTAAAATTATAAAAATTTACTTCCCGTTAGTAAATAATTATAAAATAATTTAATTCAGTGTAAACTAAAAGCGAATATAAAAAGTGAAAAATTAATTTACATTAAAATATCACAATTTATCACTTTTAAATAAAAATATTCTCCGCACTCACTTTCAGAGCTCAACTGGCCCGGTTTCATATATATTTGTTGCCTTTTCTCCTCTTGACAACACACTACTGGACTTTTTCCTTCAAACCCACATATCTTGGGGAAGATTTTCTTCTTCAGCAGGTTCTGAGCGTAAGGACACTTATCAATAATCACACATTTACCATTTTCATCGCCAAGCAGTTTGCATGAGTCGACTAGAAAAAAAAAACAAAATAAAAAATTTGATTGAATTTCCGTTAATTTTAACTAATTCTCACCATTCTCAGTCTGACCGATTGTGAGCTGTTGAAAGCACAAAACTAAAACGACGTAAATTAAATACATTGTTCTGTACTTTGTCTCTGTAAATCGTTATTTAATTAAGTGTTAAGTCAGACAGCTGTTTATAACTGCCATGCGGTAATCCCCTAGATGTATTATAAGAACGAAGCGTCATATTTCCAGCAACGTTGTCAGTGGAATCATAAAAGTACCCCATTATTATCTCTTGCAATGCAACTGTGCATTAATTAAAGTTACAGCAACATCTTTGTCATCATCGAGGAAAGATTTGTTTACACCCAAAACTGCATAGATAACTGTTATGTGTTGTGGAAGGAGTTGATAAAATCATCCCATCAATCAATTCGTATGAATTACTTACGAACATTTTTTATACGGAGCGATTGATGTGTTGGTGTTTTTTCCATATAATTTCATAAATACATTTTATCTCGTAAATAAAATAATTCCTCTTCAATCAGAAACCACATTTTTCATGCAGCTTGAAGATATTGTCAGTAATTAGTTTTTTATTTAATTGGGTTGCCCCTCTAAAAAGATCATCAAAAGGATCAGTCAAAGGGTTGAGATATTATAAATTTTGTTTCTAAGCAACGACCAAAAACCGAAATTTAGTCATTTTTATCAGTGACTAGAGTGCCAACAAAAAGAACCCTGATTTTTATTGTTAAACTTGCAAATTTTTTTAGTTTTTTTCTTTCGTTAATTATTTGCATTTGTTTCGTTTTCAAGTACAATTTCTTTTACGAAAACTGACATTAAATAATTTTTTGAAATAAATGTCATTTTCTCGCAATATCTCGCTTGTTATTTGAGATGGACCCATCAAATCTCACATCACTGTATTCGTAAGGGAAAGCTTTATCCGAATATGAAAAAATGTATAGGGTGTTCTATAAGAAAAAACAAATTTATTGGCTGTCCAGCTTTTCTGGGTATACGACTGAATCATCTTAAAAGATGGTCCTCCCGAGAACAAAATCGACCTGTTCCGGTGTTTTTTTAAAAATCACTCATTATAAAAGTTATGAATTTTGTTCCAAACTTTATCATCACGCTGTATTATGCAGCCTTACGAGAAACAAGTCACATTACAATAACCTCATGTGATAATTATTGTTGATGAAGCGTAAGTTACCTAAAGCAAAAACACCAGAACATAATAAACTTGTCTGTTCCCATTTTGAAATAAATTTAAACTGACCTCATTTTACTCATTCTTTACAGTTCTTTGAGCAGGTGTTCCCCGTGTGAATAATTAAAAAAGCACCGTACCACAAGAAGGCAAGATCCCAAGAGAATCGTCGCCAATTAAATTTTAATACAGATAATTATAATAATTATGAAGTATTATAAAAATATTTTACACAAGGCATGTTTATTGACTTACTCTAAGACAATCAAATTACGTGAACGGCGCAATATTTTACCTGAAGAAAATCATAAAAAACTAGTGAAGAAATAATACAGATCAGTTATTTCATTTATTTTATTTTTAAAAATATATTCATATTCACCTATAGTCTATTTTTTAATTCAAAATATCGCATTTTTATGTTCTCATAATACTCTTTCCTGCTTTGCATCATTATTTGTGAAATTTCTCCAACATAATTAAGTTTTTTTATTCGCAACTTCATTACGATGGCCAAACAGTACTTTCAATCCATTGCAGATAGTTGTAAACTCTTGTGTATACGCCTGGAGTTCTGGATATTCCACACGCTTTTCCGAAAGATGTAACTCCGACAATGGCGTAATTCTTATACCAACCCCACCTGCTCCTAACTCTTATTTGTAGTGGTCCACCAGAATCACCCTGCAAAAGCATATTCGAAATATCCACACTACCTCACAAAGAGCTTACTCAAAACATAAAGTTTTTCTGTATTTCGTACCTGACAAGTGTCCTGCTTCGGTTTTCCCCCGGCGCAGATGTGCATGTCATCCACTATTCCACGTGGAAGTTCTTTTGCGGACGTTCCAATGTAAGACTTGTTGCACGTATCGTACTCCACAAGGTCCAAATCCGTTTTCAGAAGAAAACTGCTGAAATCTCCGATGAACTCGGTCTTTCCCCATCCGGTGGCAGTCATGCTCTTTTCGTCGTGGTGTCTTGTCGTGTCCAAACAAGCCATGCTCACATAGCCAGTTCGTGTGATTTGCTTGTCTAATTCTACTAAGCCTATGTCGTTGTATCTGGATGGATTCTTGTATTCGGGATGTGGGATTCTTCTTTTAATGGTGAAGTCTTGGGGTTCTGCTTCGTCGGTGTCGCTGGTTATGTCCAGGTCTCCTAATCGTACGAATTTGGCAGGTCCCCTAAACGAGAAGGGTAAAAATGTCCGAATAAGAACAAGAATAAAAATAGTAATTTTGAAAAACACACTATTTATTTATAGCAAACTCTAACGAATCAAATAACTGTGTTTCACTTTTAATCTCTTTTTTTATTTTTGAAGTGTTGAGTTGAATGACTATGAAGTGTTAGTAAACTTTAGTTTCGTTAAAAAAAAGTATACTTACAGCTCTCTAGAAAACAAGCAGTGGGCGGCTGTTAGAACAAAATTTTCGCTAATTAGTGATCCTCCGCATTGCCACTTGATGTTATCTTTATCGCCAAAACCTATTACCGCCTGAAAATAATGTTTTTCATCAATTAAAATAAAAACATTTAAGAAAAGACTTACCATATGAGGAAATTCTTTGACTAAAGACGGTTTGCCTCCTGGAACTAACACTTCGTTCCTATCATCTTCTGGATCAGGATAATACTCATTACATTCTGAAAATATAAAAATATTGTATTATCACTTCCGTTACTAAATAATTATAAAGGGATTTAATTTAGTTATAAATTAAGAGAGAGTATATAATGGAAAAAATGAATTTACATTTACAGGTATACTAAAACATTAAAAGTTTTCACTTTTAATTAAAAATATTCTAAGCACTCACTAGCAGAACTGAGCTGGCCCGGCTTCAAATTAAGTTGACTTTTCTCCTCTTTACAACAAACCACTGTGTTTTTTCCTTCAAACCCACATATTCTGGGGAAGATTCTCCTATTCAGCAGATCCAGAGCGTATGGGCACTTATCAATAATCACACATTTACCCTTTTCATCACCAGGCAGCTTGCATGAGTCACCTAAAAAAAAGAAAGTAAAAAGTTTGATCGAATTTCCGTTAATTTTAACTAATTCTTACCTCTCTCAGTCTGACCGGAAGCGAGATGTTGAATGGACAAAACTACAACTACATAAATGAGATACATTGTTGTGTACTTTGTCACTGTAAACCGTGATTTTATAAGTTTTAAGCCAGACGGCTGTATATAATAGTCCTAAGGTAATCCCCTAGTAAAATGTATAAAAAATGGAGCGTCATATTTCCTGCTGTTGTCAGTGGGATCATAAAAGTACCGAATTCTTATCGCTTGCAATGCAGTGTGACAGAGTTACTGCAACATCTTTATCTTCATGGAGGAAGGGTTTGTTTACGTCTGTGTCTTGCTAAAATAAATCTGCGTTGATAATTGTATTGTGGAAAGATTTGATAATATAAAATTCCCGCATCAATCAGTTCGTATAAATTGCTTACATTTTTTTACAAATGTTTTATACAGGGCGATTGTTGTGTATGTAATTTCACAAAGATATTTTATCAAAATAAAACAAATGTTTCGTCACGACCGCTGGGAGAAGGGTTGGTCCGATCGGAGTGATTTTGCGGATTTTTATTCTGTCAAACAACAAAATAATGGTAATGTCATAGGCGTGCGCACTAAGATGAATGTTGTAATATAAGCATGTACAAATTTTGTGTGCATTTATTGAAAGAGAGCTACTAGACTAACCCTTTGTCCTAAGGTGACAGACGGGTGTGCTGTGTTTGTCGTGTGTGGTGCGAATTAACATGATTTGCCTGAGTGAAAAGATTGTAAATAAAAGTTAAAAAGTTTAGTTGTTTATTTATTGAACTACTGCAATTACTTTATTATTTCGTTTTGTAATGTATACTTACTATTTTATTATTAAGGTGCTGACCTAAATCAACATTTTTATTTTTATTTTCTTTGACATGAACTCATCAACGTCTAGTAAAATATATGAATTATACTGAATGGAATGGTCAGGATATTAAGTGCAAAATTTGTTGCAAAGAATTTTTTCAAAGGAAAGTATTACATGGAACGATATATGTATAATAAATATAAAAAATATATGAGGTTTACAGCAGAAAAACTCTGGACTGAAGAAACAGAAACTGCCAATTAGCTTGTTTTTCATAAAGAAATTTTTTTTTATAAAATCCTTATAGTTTCCATGAAAAAAATTGTTGAAGTTGTAGTATTTTTAGTCCTTACATTGCTGGGCTACTGTTGTGAATTACGTCATACGCATTGTATACTATGCGCAATGCGCTCTCTCTCCACTTGGCCTCGAATACTGAAATCCGATTAGTATTAACTTTTTTGCGATAGCGTTTACATTAGTTTTTCAAGTACCAAAAATGGCTTACGTGTATAGCAACTCGTAGTTGATAGATATCGTTTTATTTTATGGTGAAGCAAGGCGACATTAGTGTTATTGTGAAGCATTTATGTTATGGTGAAACAAGACAACATTTGTGTTAGTGAAACTGTGGTTACACGTCGGTGGACAACATTTTGAACAGTTGCTGCAACATCAGGTTTCTCAAATTATTTTATTAATTAAAGCCACAAATTAATTTTATTAATTAATAATAACGATAGCGGCAAAAGCAGTTGAATTTGCTAATATGTATAAAATCGGTGTTTTAAAATTTTACTTATTTCTTTCCCTGGGAAAGGAATTATTTCAATTTTTCGTCCGTCCATTTTTTATTACACTTTGGCGCCGTGCCGGTCGCCGACTGTATGCTTCGCCTTGCGCAAGATCAGGTTTTGCAGTTGAACTGGCATTTTTGATTTTTTTTTATAAAATTGTATTTGTAAAAGTCCACTGTACATTCAAAATTTTGTTTGGATAATTTCTGAGTCACCCTGTATATGTATACATGAATCAATTTATTTACGAATGTACTTGGAGCGAATTCTATAATTTTTCTTTTAATATACCAGTAAGGTATGGTTTTTAAGACAATTACAATTTTCGGTATCTAATATTAATGCACAAATTAGTTAATAGTTTTTTTTATGACAAATTGTTTCATATAAATGACGGGTTAAGTTATTTTTATAAAAATTTCTAAGATGTTTGTAAATCTTGTTACCACTTTCCTTAGATGTTTAGCATAAACATAAATGTTTATCAGCTAATTCCTAAAAAATAAAATTAATTCTTGTTTTTTAATATGGGTTTTGGAAATATTTATTTTTGTTGTTGTAACTGCAAACTGTTAAAATTGAATCATGCCGAAAAACCTGATTAATTACATCGTAAATTTTAATTTAAAGAATCATACAATTTGTTCACTGATGAAGAGAATTTGTATTTGCGAGACCTCTAAAGCTATTAATTCATTTAGGGAAACCCTACCACAAATTCATTTTTATGATAGAAATATGCAGAATTATATGTCGTAATATTCTCGAAATTAAGATTATCGTAAAGTAAATGAATGAACCACAATATCAATTGAATTCGTTTGGTTTCCGAGAGAAACCAAATGCTTTATTAGAACAAATGCTTTTTTTACAGTACCTTGTAGAAATTTGTCATCAATATACTTTTTATTGATTCCACACTAGAAGTATTTATCAATGATCTATTAAATAATGATTCATTTCTGTGGTTTAAAAGAAATAGTCCGCTACTGGAAAATACGAAGGTGAAACACCACGAATTTCTTGTTAAATAGTTTATTTGTAAATTTTCCATATAGAACACATTAATCAACAGTAGTAACATCAGTTTATTCATTTAAATATTAATTAAATATCTTTTTTTTTTAATTATGAATGTCTAACGAGGCCAATTATACAGTAATAAAACCAAATCATTAACTTGACAGTTATAAGAATTTAGTTTGGTAAAAAATAAATACTTTTATCTATCTGCCACTGGCCCACACAATATTTTCAATCCAAGGAATATAATGAGACACCCTTGTGTAGACACCAGGCCTTCCTGGATGTCCACAAGCGATTCCAAAGGATGTTATGCCCACTAGATACATTCTTCCGTTTTCTTTTATCTGAAGAGGCCCACCAGAATCACCCTAAAATGATAAGAAGTTTCAAGTTTCATGATACGAATTTTTCCATAGAATCAAATAAAATTTTGGGTTCAAAATTCAGTCAAAGGTTGGTTTGGTTATAGGTTGTGATACCTGACATGTGTCCTTTTCCTCAGTTCTGCTGCCGGCACAGATCTGACTTTCCGCCACAATCCCTCTTGGCAGTTCTTCTTTGGAAACGCGGGAATAGCTATTCTGACACTCTATATTTGGAAAATACTCGAGTTCCACCTTCTGCAGCTCGGGACTGACGTCTCCGGTAGCTTCAGTTTTTCCCCAACCACTCGCGATGAGCACTTCGTCGGTTACGTTTGAAGAATACAAACAAATAGGTGACACGTATTCGGAGAATGTGACCGGGCGGTCTAGTTGCAGTAAAGCGATGTCGTCGTATTGCTCTTCCGTAGAATACAGTGGGTGAGAGATTCTCCTTATTACATTGAAATCCTCGGAGTTCAACGTTTCTGTGTCCAAACGAGTAGTCCCTAGTCTCACAACTTTGACATTGCCACTGAAAAAGATTAAAATCAGAGTTACTCTAAAGCTTTTTCGTTTGCAAACAGGATTTTTGAAAAACTCACTAAGATTTTGATGTGAGGCAATGTCCGGCTGTGATTACATAGTTCTCACTGATGAGACTTCCTCCACACAGCCATTCTTTTTTAGAATCATTTCCGTATCCTAGAGCAGCCTGCAAGACAAATTTAAAATTCAGAATTAATAAATTATATTTCCCACGCTGTCCCAAGTTGTCTTACCATATGGGGAAACTCCTTGGGCGTAGAACTAGTTCCTCCAACAATAAACACTGTTACTTTTGCTTCTCTTCCCACCCTACTATTGGCGTAATACTCATCGCATTCTAGAACAATTTTAGAGGAGTTGTTACCTCAATTTTGTTATTTAATATGCTTAAAAACTAACACATTTCGAGTAAACGAGAAAGCCTACTTACTTTGTTTGTATATCATTTTATTCTGCAGATGTCCCAAATTACCCGTAGATGGAGTTGTAAAACCGAAGTTTCCATTCTGACTGTTATCTGAAAGATTAATATTTATCTGAATATATCTCATTGCTTCAGTGCTAGAATCATTAATAGTAGTAGGTGCAGCTATAGAACTATTTTCGGCGTTGCTACTGGTTTCAGCACTTTGTGTCGTTAGTATCTCGACGGTATTATCAACTGTTGACATTTCAACAGTGCTGCTTGTTATTGATATCTCCGTAGTACTATCAGCCGTTGATATTTCAACAGTACTGCCGGTCGTTGGTATTTCAGCAGTACTAGCTGTTGTTGGCATTTCAACAGTACTAGCTGATGTTGGCATTTCAACAGTACTAGCTGTTGTTGGCATTTCAACAGTACTAGCTATTGTTGGCATTTCAACAGTACTAGCTATTGTTGGCATTTCAACAGTACTAGCTGTTGTTGGTATTTCAACAGTACTAGCTGTTGTTGGTATTTCCACAGTACTCGAAGTTAACATTTCTTCTGGAACTTCTTCAACGGTACCACTTACTGTTGAAGAATCCTCAACATTACTTTCTACAGTCGATATTTCAGTGTTACCTGGTGATGAAGTTAAAGGAGTACTGTCCGTAATTAAACTGGAATTAACTAAAGTGGAAGTACTGTCGACAGTAGTCAAGTCTATAGATCTGTCTACGTGGGTCACTTGTGTGGTTGAAACCTCAACAGCGCTACTTACGGTTGAGATCTCAACAGTACTGCTGTCCGCTGTTGATGTGTCAACGGTTGATATTTCAACATTGCTGACTACAGGCGGTATTTCTACTACAACAGGCTGCTCACTGTTTGTAATGTTTACAAAAATATTTATGCTAGAAGGTATTTCAATTTTTATGACAGTACCTCCGATCGTTGTAACCGTTTCGAAAATTGCAGGAGTGGTGGTCGTTTCTACGGAAATATCTGGAAGGGTGATATCGTTTGCAAAAGTTGGAACTATTGGAGGTGCCTCAGTTTGAAGCGTGATATCGTTTGCAGACGATGGAACTGTTGAAGGTGCCTCAGTTTGAGCCTTATTTATACAAGTGGTCCCGCTCTCCGTACTATCGGGCATCAAGTTGTTGCTAGATTGTGGTTGAAACATAGCGATTTCGTCAATATTACCTTGAGACAGGGGTGTGTTTCCTGATTGTCCGTTGTTCGGTGTCATAATTGGACGTTCTGTAAAAAAGTTCTTTTATTTTTTGACTCGTTTATTTACTTTTTATGAAATAAAATTGTAGTTTAGTTTTTTATATACTAAGAAATGGTTACTACAACTTCCAAGAAAGAAACCGAAGATGATTGTACCATTAAGTAAGTTTTAAAATCGTCTGAATATAAGAAATTTGGAACTTCCAAGTCATATACAGGGTATTAGAAGTTTGACTGCCTTAATTTTAACAGGTGATAGAATCCATTAAAATAAACAAAAAAACCTTATATGACATGGGTCCTAAACTCAACCATTTCCGAGAAAAAAATTATTATAATCTCCAACTTGTACAAAAGTTCGATTAATTAAGGAATATTGACATAACTGTGTGCATAGAATACCATAAAATATAATGTTTATCATTTTTTTGAACTTCTCTATGCTTAATTTTAAAAAATAAATTTAAAATTCGATAAAATTCATATCGAGCAATGTGACAACGGCGCGGCGGTTTATTAACACGAGGTACTAAGGTGTCCAGCAACAACCAATATGCAATTCAGTTGGTATCTGGATTCGACCATGTCGGAGTGTTTTTTTGCGTACCACTATTTGTAGCATATGTTGTAGTTTGTTTTGTACTTGTGCGTTTAAAAATTACTGAATTTTGCTTTTTGGTAAGTACCTAAATTATTTTTAATACGTATGATTATTTACGTTCAATCCTCATGAAATTCGAACAAGATCTTTTCAAAACGAATTTTCTGTGAAAGTGTGGCTCGGAATAATTAGCAATAAAGTTTGTGGACCTTTCTTCTTGCTACCATCCAAATTCCCAATAATTTCTAAACTCTCTAGAATACCATCTATTTGAATGATTACTTTCAAGCATAAACATAAATATTTTTGTAATATTATGGTTTGAGATGTCTGCCACAAGGGGACTGTATTGGTATGAATAACTTGAGAACGGCGAATCTTAGGGAAAAAATTGTAGTTACCTTTTTTACGTATTTAGTGCATTAGAATATAAATCCGTTACAATATGTTGTAAAAAATACAGTGGCGTAGGTTTTTTTTATAAAAAGAGGGCGACCCCTGTCCAGTTGTACACCAGTGGTTGAACCTCTAGAGTTCGCATTGGGGAATGCAAGGCCTACTGTCATACATTATCTGTACCAAATTTTATTGAGATCGGTTAATAGATTCCGGAGATATAAACAAAAAAAATCAAGTTTTTTTATCAACTAACACTCTGTATCTATAAAACGAGGCCGATCTAGACTTATGTTTATAAGGCAAACACCTATTATTAAAGTTTCCTGCATAAAATTCGGACCACCTTGTATAAAAATTAAAAAATTTGGAAAAATTGCACAATACGAAAATAGGTCTGTAATTTGTAATTTCGGATGAACAACCATTCTTTGGTTCTTGGAAACTCTGGTAAACGTTTTCATGCTAATAATAAAATTATAATTGTGCACTAAAGTCTGTGACAAAAGTCTAACCAAGTCTTTGATGAAGCAGGTTGGTCCTAATTACAATTAAAATTTTTCTTTAAAAAATTATTAGCTCAGAATTTGATATACACTAGAAAAAAAATTGAAAGGCTTTAACAATATCCTGCGCATTCGTAAGGATCCTGTTTCATAATACTAGGAACTCTGTTTTTTCATCGTTATTCAATTAATTATTTTCAACAGCACTCAGAAATTTCGACGATTCCTGTTTATTTTAATGTGTAGTATATAATGAAAAGTAAGGTCCCCATAGCCTTCCACGATTTAAAAGAAACAGATAAAGTAATATAAAAGTTAAACTTACGATTGTGACGAAAAGTGTTCGCATCGCCAGTCCACACTAACAAAGTGACGAGGAGCGATTTGAGTTCAACCATGGTGTCTGAATTACAAATAATTCATTTTGAATTATCACCGGTTCGGATGTTGCGAGATACCATAGCGACAGGAAATCCATATTTATGACAAAAATATTTTTTGTCCGACTTATTTCTCATTGTGCAGGCGTAATTTGCTTATTTTTATTGAAAAAATTACCTTTTCAACACATCGCTGGCCTTGGGCATTTGTTACCATCACAATCGTTTTATTAAAATAGTACAGATACAGCTGCACGAAACACAGGGCTGTATAAAAAGATTGTCATGGGTGAATGCAAAATTGAATGCTCTTTCGACTGATATAAGGCCGTCCATAATTATCTCTAACAGTTTTCCAGAAAAATCAGGTTATTTTCTAAAGTCCGGAAAAGTAGCTATGCAACAGCGTCAAGAAGGCCTTGCAATTATTGTATTAGTACAACGTCGCTACATAGGATTTTACAAAAGCACAGCACATCACATACTTATCGCATCCAATTACACCAAGAGTTACTAAAAGTAGACTTTTAGTGAAGACTGGAGTTTTGTCAGTAGGCACTTGAGATGTTAAATCAACGTGATGATTTTTTTAAACGGGTCATGTTCTCCGATGAGGCTACTTTTCATAAAAATGGTTTCGTTAATAGTTACAATTACCATTATTATGACACAGTAAATCCTCACGAATTCCGGTCACTCATAGCCAACGATGATGTCATTGGATCATCCTTTTTTGACCAGCATCTAACTGGAGCAGTTTATTTAAACTTTTCAATAAACACTCTAGAAGATTTGTTAGCGGATATTCCTTTAGCTACACTTCGAAGAATGTGGATGCAACATGATGGCGCTCCACCGTACAATACCGCTGCTGTTTGTCAGTTTGTACACGAAACTTTTCCTATCAGACGAATTGGTCGCGAGGGACCAGTGAGTTGACCTTCAAAGTGTCCAGATGTGACAAGTTGGGACTTCTTTTTATGGGAATTTATAAAAAGCAAAGTTTACGTTACATCACCAACTACCGCAAAAGATATGTGACAGCGCATTACAGTAGCATTTTAAGAAATTACATCAGATATGCTGACCAATGTTGAACAGTCTTTTAAAAATCGAATTCGTTTGTTTATTAATCAAAATGGAGGACACTTCGAGCAACTGATGTAAATCAGCGGTCTAAGTATTNGCTGTCCATAATTATCTCTAACAGTTTTCCAGAAAAATCAGGTTATTTTCTAAAGTCCGGAAAAGTAGCTATGCAACAGCGTCAAGAAGGCCTTGCAATTATTGTATTAGTACAACGTCGCTACATAGGATTTTACAAAAGCACAGCACATCACATACTTATCGCATCCAATTACACCAAGAGTTACTAAAAGTAGACTTTTAGTGAAGACTGGAGTTTTGTCAGTAGGCACTTGAGATGTTAAATCAACGTGATGATTTTTTTAAACGGGTCATGTTCTCCGATGAGGCTACTTTTCATAAAAATGGTTTCGTTAATAGTTACAATTACCATTATTATGACACAGTAAATCCTCACGAATTCCGGTCACTCATAGCCAACGATGATGTCATTGGATCATCCTTTTTTGACCAGCATCTAACTGGAGCAGTTTATTTAAACTTTTCAATAAACACTCTAGAAGATTTGTTAGCGGATATTCCTTTAGCTACACTTCGAAGAATGTGGATGCAACATGATGGCGCTCCACCGTACAATACCGCTGCTGTTTGTCAGTTTGTACACGAAACTTTTCCTATCAGACGAATTGGTCGCGAGGGACCAGTGAGTTGACCTTCAAAGTGTCCAGATGTGACAAGTTGGGACTTCTTTTTATGGGAATTTATAAAAAGCAAAGTTTACGTTACATCACCAACTACCGCAAAAGATATGTGACAGCGCATTACAGTAGCATTTTAAGAAATTACATCAGATATGCTGACCAATGTTGAACAGTCTTTTAAAAATCGAATTCGTTTGTTTATTAATCAAAATGGAGGACACTTCGAGCAACTGATGTAAATCAGCGGTCTAAGTATCCTTGTTGTGTTCCAAGTTTCATTTTGTTTCGTTTTGGGTTTTGTTTTAGTTGTTGTTAAAGGTTAACTTTTGTTTGCCAAACCACTTGTTAAACTTGCCACTAAATATTGACACTGTCAGTCCCAGGTCTGATAAAATGTGAGAGAAAAGTGGTTTTGCAAGGCCTTCATAATGCTGTTACATAGCTACTTTTTCGGACTAGAAAAGAATTTGATTTCTCTGGAAAACTGTTAGAGATAAGTATGGACAACCTGATATCAGTCGAAAGGGCATTCAATTTTGCATTCACCCATGACAATTAATATGGGTCGTCCATTTGAAAAAACAAAAGTTTTTCAACTCGTAAGATTATTAAATGTAGGTCTCAGTATTTCCGAGTCTGAATAACGTACACGTTTTGCTCACAGCTGATAAGATAGAGTAATTTATGCCAAAATGAACTTTGAAAACTGCAGGTTTCTAACCAAATTTTACAGTTGCAGAGTTACAGAAGAATCGCTCTTAGATGGAACACCCTGTATATAAACCTATTGGTAACTCCAATGCTAATTCTTTTTTGCAAGACCAACATTCTGCATATTAAATATTCTTTTATAATTTCTTTAACTTAAATAAAACTTGAGCATTAACTATAAAGTTTTTCAATTCGTTTATTGCTAAAATAGTTAAATTACATATTAAATTATCAGTTATAGTCGGTGTTCTTCTGGCCATACGATGTCTTCTATCCATTTTATGTAGGAAGATACTCTAGTGTACACACCTGGGGTGTTATTTGCTAAACCACAAGCTTTTCCGAAAGATGTAATACCAACAATGCTATACATCCCTCCCATATCAGGATTACTGAAGGATAATTCTATTTGCAGAGGACCTCCTGAATCACCCTAGTAATTAAACAGAATTAATAAAAATGTGACAAAGTCTACAGCTACATACAAAACATATGTATTGATATCAGAGTTAAAATTTGAACAAAACTTCTAGATTCACTCAATCAATAAGCGTAACTATATTCGCTGTTTATTATTCCCATTACAAGGTTATTTCGTGTAGTGTCTGGACAGGTTCACATGAATAAGGTAACTATAAAGGGTTGCTCGGTTATCTTAGTTTAATATATTGATTTAGTTACGATAATAATTAAAAACAATGATATATCGAGCGTCGACTAAAATTCCTTCCTGTGTCAAATTAGGATGTACTTATAGACCACATTTGTTTTATTTTTGATTAACAGAAACGTCATGTGTTTTCTGTGAAATTGTCGATATCTTTTTTGTTAATATTATAATATTTTTTATGCACCACGACGAATAAGAAATACTTTACTGATAGCTACCTGTGCTTTTGGGCGCTAGAGACAGAGGCTTGGCCTGTATAAAGAACACCGCATACAAAAAAAATTCGAGTGCAAAGAGACTGCTTGCTACTCATTTTGATGTCAATAATATAATAGTCCACGGGCCCACGTACAAAGAAAAAAATGATTACCAGCAAGCTTTAACTTTGCGTGCAGCTTAAGTTTGACGAGTCTCCCAAGATTTGACTATGAGGAAAATTCAACAGTGGTAAGTTTTCCCGTGATTTTCAGAAAAACATGTCAATCTGGCATAAACATGGAATGTTATGACCAGCACTGTTTTTTTAATTTTAAATGAAAGATATGTTTTTTTAAATCCCCCAAAAAATTTGTTCGACAAAAATGTTGGTATTTTGAGTTTGTCCCCCACCCCAAATGTGTCGATTTGGTGACATTATGATTGGTGATAACCAGTAAGCTGATTTTTCTGGGAGGGTTTGGTAATAAGATTTGAAATGAAAGTATCTTATTATTGTCCGAAAAAATTCTTGAGAAGTTTTTGCAGTCCGACGCCCCGAAGATGTCGACTTAACGACAACATGGTTGGTGATAACCAGCAATCTGGTTTTGATTTTTTTCTCTAATAACTGAAATGTATAACACAATAATATACTTGTCCGCCAAAAAGATTGGAAAATTTGCCTTAGAATGGGGAAAATAACTATTTTTGTGGTACCTAATGTTCATTCCGCTATAAAATAATTAATTTTTTAATGAAAAAATAAAGAAGAATAAATAAGAANCAGCGGTGTATTTCATTTAAAATATTTAAATTTGCAAATAATTCTAAGGAAGAAATAAATCAAAAAGAATAAACAAAGTCGCTGAAACAGGTCGATTAGTAAATAGAAATTGTCACTTTTCTGCAATATTTTATATTTTTTTGAGCCATGTTTGACAGACCTATAACATTACCGACATCTTTTTTTAATAGAACGCTCTATATTTTATAGTATCTATAAATGGTTAGCCCTTCTAAAGACAAATTCATCGATATAAGGTTATACCTACCTTTTTGTCATAGTTTCTTCAAACTTTTTGGATACTTTTCTTATTGTAGCTCAACTAATGATGGAACAAAGCTACTATTGTAGCTTTTGTTCCATCATTTTGGGACACAGTGTATGCTCTAAAGCTAGCTTCAGCTTTGCTGACAGAGCAATTAATTCAGAAACTTCGACCACTTTTGAAAATATTCTGTCTAAAACTTGAATTTTATTCTCAATAGAACGTTTAGTGTATGTTTCCGGCAATGAATTAGACTTTCAATCCCTATGTTTTTTGATGGAGTTAATATCTGCTCCAGAATCATCTAAAATCATGGCAGAAATGTCTCTGAAACTGTGGCCTGTATAGTTTTTCCACTAATGAACCTTTAAATATACAGCAATGGAGTACTTTTGATTTTATTAACACTAACTACTTGACGCACATTTAATTTGCTATTATAATAAATCTTAGTAAACTTAGGACACAAAGTAGAATATTTTTTATGTAAAGTAATATGAAATTCATCAGAAATGATAGCCAAATGTCCTCTGTGTATGTGTCTTGGTCATCAAAAAATATTTATTACAGAATATTTTTATATTAATATTTTTTTTGACATTAATTATACTTTTTAACAAAGTTTCACTTTCATAACCTTGTATTCAAAATAAGCAATTAACTCGTTTTCAGATGGTTCATTAACTTTATTTTCGATACTTCAAGAGGCAAAAATATTTTTTATCATTTAGAAAAATCAGTTTCACTTTCTCAACACGGTAGATAGGTATAACAAATATGGAAACCAGAGCAAAATGACTATTGACACATTGTTTATCTGGTTTTATATAATTAATTGCTTTCCCATGCAATCTTAAAATCTGCTGATCGATACATATTTCTAATACGAGTATAAACGCAAATTTGAATCTTTCGTAAAAGTCAATATTTTGACTTTTTTTTGACAGTTCTGATAATATTTTGAAACATTTACTCCATTATTTAGTACAGAGGCGACACGTCGCAACCTAGAATAAAAAATAACTGTATTTTTTACTTGTTTTTCCTAAACAAAACAAATCCATGTTAAAGGCGATAGAGAAGTTATTTTTCAGCCAAATTTATATTTTTCGAATAAATAAGAGTAAATAGTGAAATATGAAACAATTAAAAATTAATAAAAAATTAGTTTTCGAGTACCTATCTTTTATTTTCCAAGACCCAGACGAAAATTCAGCGGAAATGATTTCAGAGCACCGAAACCTGCCTAATCGGTCATTTTAGTACAATTCGATGCCATTTTCGAAATCTACGCTCTTGAATTGATTTAGAAAATTAAAGGGCAGCAGTTTTATCTGAATTTAGCTCCTTGTAAAAATATAATAGATTTAAAAGTTATGTTTATTAAGCTAAATGCAACTTGTGATATATTATAATTATTAAATAAGCCTTTAAATTGAAATTTTGGTCAACTTGAGTTAGTTTGAGGTATGTTATAACAATAAGTGACAGTAATTTTTTGTACAACCCCCGGCCAAGGGTAAAAAAAGATAAAACAAAGGGTTTTTCAAGATAACTCAAAAGGGGAAGGGCTATAAAAAAAGTTTCGTTTAAAAGTTGTAAAGCATACAACTCTACATGAAAATGGCCTCTGGACTTTTTCTTGCATTACTAAAATTAACAGAGTTAGGGAGGCTTGAAGTTAAGGGAAGATTTCAGAAATTTAAAAAATCATAAGCAGAAAAATGAATGAATTTTGTAATTTTTTTTCAATCTACTCTAAAAAATGTAACTTTTCTTTTCAAAGAAATAGATACATTTTTTAATTTTTAATAAGAAAGTTATAACAAAATCAAATTTTTAATCGTTAATTTTAATGATTTAACAAAACTAAAACGATGTTTTTTCTATACTATTCGATTGATTATTTAAAGTAATGAAAAGTTGCCTTCGAATTTTTTTTCGATTGTTTTTTAGACAGATACAAATTTATTTACCTTTTTATATTTTAAATTTTATTTAGCTCCTACGACACCGCCAGGACAAAGATAAAAAATCACGTTCGCTTTGTCGCACTCATGGTACCGAAGTTGTGGACAACTCGTACGCTTATGACAAAGATAGATTATTTCGTTCGCTATTGTCAATGCGCGTGCGTCAGTAAACGTGTGTTTCTTTAAATTATTGTATGCTCAATATCTACCCACTGTTAATCTCAAAAAGGTAAATACATATTAATAAGGACTAATATTTTTTCTTTTAGCCTAAAACGGATTTAAATGGATGTAAACTAACCCTCATTTCACCCCCAAAAATAATATTTCCGTGATAACTCGGGTTCTAATCAATATTTTGGAATGAAACGAAATAGAAATTACCTCTTATAAAAAAAAAATTATGGGCTTATGTACCGCGTCAGTTGAATGAACAGTATGACGATATTCCACCAAATAGTGATACGCTCTGGGAACATATAAAAATATTTGCAACGCTACATACGTGAATTATATACGACACCTTGTTATATCTATGCCAAACAGATTACAAGCCGTTATTGATTCGGATGGTGGTTGGACAGACTGTTTTGTTTTTTCATTGTTTATAAAATGATGTCAAAATAAGTAAATAAGTTCATAACATTATGGGCCCGTAAATACTTCCTTAGTGATAGATGTAAAATTTTAAAAAATCACGTTTTCCTAAATATTTCGAAAACGATTTAAGATATTACACTGAGCTTTAGTGAATAGTACAGTAGCAGTGTAATATCTTAAATCGTTTTCGAGATAATTAGAAAAAAAACGGATTTTAAATTTCTTTCGACATCTATCTCAGAAAGGAAACATTTCTGGACCCATAATGTCATGAACTTATTTACTTATTTTCACTTCCAGAACACGTCCTTAAAATAGTTCCCTTTCCTCCCGAAACTGTGTAAGTTATAATAAAACTGTAGTTTACAATATTTTTTGTTGCCTTCATGACCTATCTACCTACTTTCTGCGGAATATGACACAAATTCTTATTTCAAAATATTAATTTTCTCAGGGACAAGAAAACTAATGTGGCAAGACAAAATAATTTCAAAACCTGTATACTCTTCTCTTTTTATAATGCATATACTTCAGGCCTCCATTTTTTTGTTATGTGTGTCGTTACACACGTGCCTACACAAAAAAAAATATGACACGCCCCTAATTATTGATGCCTCCCAAAATTCCTATTAATAGTCCACCGGCTCTTTTAGGTTGGGAACCTTTATCTTGCGTCGTACAGTAATATGGCAATTTGACGAAATTTGGGAAACTGGGAGTACTGATAATGAGAAACTCAAATATTTACTTTGTTTTAAATAACTATAACTTTTTTGTGCCATTTTTGACTAAACATATCTATTCTCCACTCAATATATCGTACAAAAAGTACCTACTCTTAGTAGTTGCCGCTGAAAGCAGCCGCTTTGTAAAAAGACGGGTTTAATATTAAACCTGAGATGGAATTTTGTCAGTTGAATAACACAGCCACACACAAAAAAAAGTTGGGTATACTTTTTATGCGACATATATTTTTCGTAGTAATTTGGGCTCCTGAACACGAATATGGGGTCAGAATTGGCCCATCACGTCACAATTTTTTCCTAACCTCAAAAAACTTGTGAAAAATAGTGAAAATTGATGAAAATTTACTGGGAAAATTTGTAAAAAAAATTTATTTCCACATCAAATAGTACATTTTTATGTAAAAGACTCTGCTGAATTCAAATCCACTGTNAAACTTCTAATTGTATTTTTTTCCCGAAAAAAAGCTATAATGATTGGCCTAATCTCAAAACATACTCACCTGACAGGTGTCCCCGACTTTATAAGGCGGCCCAGCAGCACAAATCATCAAATTATCCAATATCCCGTCTTTGAGCTCGGTATTCTTTTTGTTTATCTCTCTCCTATACGACTGATTGCATGTATCGTAGGCAATAATTTCCAGTACCACTTTCAGCAGGTCGTTACTACCCTCTCCAGTGGCAAATCCTATGTTACCCCAACCCGTAGCATAGACAAAACGTGGAAAAATCTCTCTTGCAGTATGGAGACACGCAGGTCTTGCGTACGGGTTTAGATCGACGCGTTCCGATAATTTTAGCAAGGCTATGTCGTTGTATTTGGATGGTGGATTGTATTCGGGATGGAAGATCACTTCACTTACAACGCGTTCTTGCATGTGGCTGAGATCCGACAGATTCGTCATGCCAGTCCGAATTAGCCTGGTTAAGCTCCTAGGACACCAAATGTGTTACACACATAATTTTAACTGTAGTATACAGGGTGTTTATTAAGTACTTGTGCAAACTTTAAAGGGTGAATCTTTGATTCACTTTAAGGAAAAAAGTTCATATGACCATGGCTTGATTCTTGCCATAAAGAGCATTAAAAAAAATGTTTGGTATTTTGATTACATTTTTGTACACTCGACGCAAGATAAAAGTTTCCAATCTGAATCGTATTTTGTTTGAAATATGACAGCTTAACCGTTTGTCTATATGGGGCGTTCCCATTAAACTCGTGTGGCAATATTTTACCGTCACATCTGACGTTTTTCGAGTTTTGTACAAAAGTTTTGCTGATAGATTGGCATTTTTAAAATGGGACTAATCGGCAAACTCTTATAGCAGACCCCGTGTGCATTTTTTATTATCTTGTTTCTATCAAAAGAGTTGCATTTACATTACAATAGAAGAATCGATTCATCCTAGTTAATAAATCTTGCGAAACGTCTACTACCTTCTTACGAATAGTTAGATTGAATGGATTTAAGAAAATTAAAAATTTTATTTTTTTTTTTAAATTTTGAAGACCTTGCAGCTCGGAAACTGCGGCCTTAAGAGCCTACGCGTGTGTAACAAAATTTACTTAATATTAGCCACAGGACGGGCTTCTGGTTTTTTCTGTACGCCATGAATGAACACTGTTTAGGTGCCCGCAATGAAATCAGTTGAAGTTTCTTATAAAAGTTGTAAAGCATACAATTCTACATAAAAATGGCCTCTTGACTTTTTCTTGTATTATTAAAATTAACAGAGTGAGGGAGGCTAGAAGTTAAGGGAAGATTTCAGAAATTTAAAAAAATCATAAGCAGAAAAATGAATGAATTTTGTAATTTTTTTTCAATCTACTCTAAAAAATGTAACTTTTCTTTTCAAAGAAATAGATACATTTTTTAATTTTTAATAAGAAAGTTATAACAAAATCAAATTTTTAATCGTTAATTTTAATGATTTAACAAAACTAAAACGATGTTTTTTCTATACTATTCGATTGATTATTTAAAATAANATTTGAATATGTTTATGTATTTTAGAAGAGTAATACCCATAAAAGTTTTTTTTTGATAAATTTCGAGAATAAACGGCGAAAATTTGACACTTTTTCTTATCTTTACCAGGGTAAAATTTCCTTTAAAATGTATGCACATACTCGTGAGACATACTGTAGATATTCTACTTACACTTCTGTATGTCTCAGGCAATGGCCAGCAGTTAGCACGTAATTTTCACTTATTAAAGATCCACCGCAGTTCCACTCTACCTTTTTTCCCTTACTGTAACCAAGTAAAACCTAAAAAATGGTCCAATTTGTATACAGGGAACTGCGTCGATCGATATCTAGGAAAGTACTGCTCCGAAAAATTTTGAAGATTTGGCAACATGGCAACGTCTCTGGGGCGAACACACCTAAAATATCTAGAACTTTACACCACTTCCGGTTATACCGGAAGTCAACGCCAACTTCGCTATTTTAAATGGAACATCCTATATATTATTGCATTTTCGTATTCTACGTGAAATTTGAAGGTAACTTTATTAAATATTCCCTATACCGAGGAGTTCTAGATTCTGAGATATTAATGTTTAAAGAAAAAATTTGACAGACGCAGGGGTCCGCGGAGATGCTAGTAACTATTTTCAGGAGCGTGATATCAAGTGGATTTTTCGTACCTGTAAAGGGCATAGGCAACGCTAAATCGTGGTATACCAACAAATTAAAACATGTAATACTAGGTGTTTCATTTTTGCTGTTACATTTTGATAACTTCAAACAGTTGTAACTTTGTTAACTTAAATGGAACACCCTGTATTTTTTTACTCTGTCGGATGCAGATTGAAAATTCCTTTCAAGCCATATAATCATTGTTAGGGTTGCCGTTACTTCTTTCAGAGATATTTGCAATTTTCTATGTTTTGGGCAGTTTTTGTCTTATCAAACCTGTTATCAAATTGGCCATGACCAGAAACACTCTAAAAACAATTGAAATAACATGACATTTGTCAAGTTAGTTGACAAATTATTGTTGTGTCTGAATAGTTTTTGCTTAAATTTAAATAACAATGTCTTGGGATCGTTTACATTATACTATTGAGGATTATTTTAATTTGTTTGTTATTTATGGAAAATGCGACAAAGTAATTTTAAGAACATGTAGACAGTCTGTATAACCGGAAGTGCTAGAGAGTTCTAGATGTTTTAGTTGTGTTCGCCCCAAGGACATTGCCAAGTTTCAAAATTTTCGGAGAAGTACCTACTTTTCTAAATATCGATCGACACAGTTCCCGATGGGACACCCTGTATATACTTATACATATAGACTACAGACTGTTAAACATTCCTTTAAGTTGTTTTTTAAATGAATGAAGTGGTTACATTTTAATAGAGACGAAACTAAATTTTTTCGGCAACCTACGATTGAAAGTCTTTTTTTTGTGAATGTCACAATGTTTCATTATTAAATTCTTTGCATAAAATTTTATAACTTCATCAGTGGGGTTGACTCCTATTGAAATATTTATTATTTATTTAAGTTTATTACGGAGAGATACCGAAAAAATTGAAAAGCAATTAAATTAAACAACTTGTATGTTGCAGAAATGGAAAATATTGTGGGATATATCAAAGTTCATTCGAATGTTTATTGTTAAATTTCAGTATTTTTGAAATATCTTAAAGTCTTTGTGTTATGGAATTATAAAAAGTAGAGAAATTATTGACAGTATATACCATATGGGGATATTCCTTAATGACAGCTAATTCACCACCAATAACCAACGTTGGTGATACTGTTCTGTCAATCCGGTATGTGGTATATTCCTTGCATTCTGTGAACAAATGGTATATATGAATATATTTCACATAATGGTGGTTTGTTACACTACATAATTGCCTTCATGTGACAGTTTCGTATTTATTAACACAAAATAAACCCTGTATAAACAAATAATTTATAAATATTGATTAAACAACGAATATTTTCCATGAGTATAAATTTGATTTTCAAAATTAATTCTTCTGCAACAGATCTAGTTTAAATTATGTATGCATAAATTTGATTTTGAAACAAGTTTTTGCAAATTTTTCAGAGTTGGATTTGTACCTCAAGGTCGGAAAAAAAAGAACAATATTTTCGAAAAATAAAAATTAGTTCTTTATACATTGACTCTTGCAAGAGAATTTAGTTTAATAATATTCCAATAAAGATATTACTTTTAGTTAGTGCAACGTAATTGAGATAACAACACTAAGTAGGATATAAATAAATTATGTCACGAAAAATCATTTGTATCATATCATTGTTATTTGTCACCAAACTATAAACTTACTCTTCTCGCTTATCTCTCCTGTAGTTCTCTTAGTAGTTGTAACGTTGGCGGTGATATTTGGAGTCGTTGTTTCAATTCGAGGTTGATCAACTTTAGGTGGTTTCTTCACGGGGCTAGTACTTTCGCAGCAAATTATAACATGCGTGCCCTTAAAGCCACATTTCGTTGGGAAATTACCTTTTTCGATAGCTTTTATGGCAGATGGGCAGTCTGTCAGGAACTTACAAAGTCCTTCAGCACCACTGCCGAGTCTACAGGAATCGTCTAAAAGTTGTAGTAATAATAACTTTTCTTAGTAATACAGGCAGCTTAATATTAGAAATTGAACAAAGTAACAACTTATTCGTGTAGATGTCGCTATACACAATACGTTTGTAGAAAAAATCATCCGAAAAAATATGAAGCTTTATGGAGGATTTGGTGTGAATGAGTGAGGTGATACGAACCCATACAGTTCTATATTTTATATTTCATGTCAGGATTAGGTAGGTGGTAGATAATTAAACAATTTTAAAAAATATATTTTTTAAATATGTTTGAATTAGACTAGTACCTTTAAAATAAAGTAAAAAGCCCTGTATATTGTAAATAACCCAAATATCTGTTTTTAGATTTTCCTATATCCAAAAAATTTAAAACAGTGCATAAAAATAACCTAGTGTTCATAATATTTCTCTGTTTTCTTGGTTTTGTTGTCAAAACAATCATAATTACATATTTTTATAGCTGAATCTAACTGAAATAATATACTACACTTACTGATGTAGTATAGAAAATACGAAGGTTGTATAAATTTATATTTTATTTGTAATAAAATATCTATTTATAAAATTATTAATTACAATTATTACTAACTGATATGATTGCTTTTTCTAAAACAACTAAAATATAGCTTTCATTATGAACAACCAAACTTTAATACTTTTAAAAATTTGCATCTAAAAAAATAATAATGGTTGGAACAGTCCACAAAACTGAAGAAGAAACAATTACGTCATTGTATCTTATGATCAAAATTATACTAATTTCGATACTTCAATGAACATAGACGCAAAAAAATTGAAAATTCTCTCACAAAGCTACATATATTTTTGGCGTATACTTTTACACGTGCATTCTATTACGTCGACCTTGTGATCATAAAAATTCCGGAATATCATGAATGATAAGTCAATACAATTTTCGCTACAAACTTATTTTCTCTAGCGGCATCTACACAAATATAATGTTGACAAAACCGGGGTTTCAATTTTATTAAACACTTTAGGAAACCTTTTATTGTCCACAACTGTACAAATCAGTTTATCAGTTTATACTAAATATCTGACTACTGTTATTAATTAAAAATAAGTATATAATAAGTAAGTAATAAGTATAATAACAATCTATAGTATCAGTTTTGAAAACAAAAAATACTGGTATTTATATGTATGTACATTGAACTTACCTGCCTGTAATTCTGAGCCGCAAGCATCTAGAGAACACAGCACGACCAATATTTGCACAACCCACTTGAGAAAGGGGAAGGTTGTCATGATGTAGCTTGGCTAGCACTGCAACTGTTTTGTGATTTAATGAAACTGGAATTACAAGTTTCAATCGATCGGTTTAAGATAGAAGGGAACATTATGTTAATATCATAATTCATGATTAATTTTATATCTCTCGGAATTGAACCATAAATAATTATGACCAGCTTGCAATATTTCTTGTTATTTATTAAAAGTTTTCAAGTAGTATGAATTATTCAAAATTTTACCGCGGTTTATTCTGCAAATAATGACTTAAAATTTTCTAATATTTTATCCATTAAATGCTCCAAAAATCAACAAGAAAATTGGATTTTTTAAAAGATTTTTGTTCATTATTTATTACATAATACAATGCTTTCATATTATACAATTAGTAACGTATAGTAATTGTAGTAAAATGCTAATGCGTTTTTTATTTTATTTATATTCCAAATTAATTAATTTCAAGGAAATTAATGTTGCAGATCTTCGAAGAAATTATCTCAAATTTGTTTCACTTTGGATACAGAACGACTCGAAATCCAGCTACAATAAATTCTATAACTTATTACGGCAATCTATTAGAGGTTTATTTGAAGCATATATCGAAAGAATATATTCCAAAAAAATCTAAGATATTGACAAGAGAGGATATTTTGAAATTTATTAGAGAAGCATCAAGTCATACATATCTTTTGGAAAAGGTAATATATGAAATAATTGGTTATATTATTGCATGTGCTTAATAGGTTATTGTTATTGTAGGTTGTTCTAATAATGGATGTTTTTGGAGGATTAAGAAAGAGATGAGTTGGTAAAGCTCTCGATAGATGATATAGATGACAAGGGGATCGTTGTTGTAGTAAAAATTAACGATACAAAAATTGGAGTACCAAAATCTTTTACTATACTGGAAGAAAATGAAATGCACGCTCTCCAATTGTATCGAGATTGTTATAGATCTTTGCTACCCGAAGAAATTAAAGAACGGCGTTTTTTTCTGACATATCGGAATGGTCGATGTACTGCGCAACTAGTAGGCAAAAATACACAGGTCATTGTTTGCGTCGTACATCGGCAACTCTTCTCGTAGATGCAGGTGCAGATGTGATGACATTGAAAAGACATGGAAAATGTAAGAGTGATACTGTAGCATCAGGATATGTAGAAGATAGCATTACATCCAAGAACAAAGTATCTCGTTTAATAGTCGAAAGAACTAGTGTAGATAATTTTTCTCAATTGCTTGTGAGAGAAAATGAACAACATTTATTCGATGGCAAAGAAAATTTAGGCAGTTTTTCTGGTGTTACTGTTAAAGATTCCTTCTCAAATTGTACTTTCGTTTTTAAAGACGGTTGTAAATGATTTTTGTTATTAATTATAAAGCAAGTTATTGTTATATATCACATATTAATGTTAATAAACTTTGTACTTTCGTTTGTCTACTTTATTTATACAACGCACATTCTACCCTTGCAGAAAAGAAGGGTACAAAATAGAGTCAAAATGCGGGCGATAATATTTAGGTTCGCTTATTTCGCCCTAGAGTGATATGACGTTGTTTTCCTATTCCGTTTCGTAGTAGTAATAAACAAAGTTCTATCGCCTAAGTAAAAAATAAAAATTAATTTTGGATGTCTGCTCTTAAAACTGTATTGTGATAAAAAATCCTATACTTTTTTTAAATTTAGAGATATTTTAGGCATTTCAAAATGGCTCATTTTTCGAATAAAGTGGAAGACTTCTATCTTGCTAATAATTACCTCTGCAGGATTGTTAATTATTTTTTCCAACATATTCTCTCGTCTTATTAAAAACTTACATTTAAATATTTTTGCAGTGTTTTTAATAAAATTTCTATATACAATAAAACTTTGGCAATTAACTTTAAAACAATTTTATAATTCGTTTATTCAACATAACAACAGAGTTAGTCTGTTATTTTACATTATTGTTTTATTTATCACTGGTATTGCTCAATTCATTAATAATAGATGTATCATTGTTCTTCTGGCCATACGACGTCTTCTATCCATTTTATGTACGAGGACACCCTGGTGTAAACGCCTGGGGTGTTCTTTGCCAATCCGCAAGCTTTTCCGAAAGATGTAACACCGACGACGCTATACATGCACTTCACCTCATTGTCATTGTAGTATACTTGCAGAGGACCGCCTGAATCACCCTAATAATTAAACAGATTCTATAAAATTTGACAAGGACAACGGCTATACAGGTAGCAACTTTAAATGGGCGTAATTTTTGAGGGTAGCAGTACGTGTTCTTGAAAATATTAATTTGAAATTAATATTTTTAAATAAAAAAAAGTAGTAGTTACAATTTGTTTTTTTTTTAATAAAATTTTAGTTATACTCATACTAATAGAGTGAAAATTTCAGTCAATTGCGTGTGGACAGAAATTGATACATTGTTAAGTAAAATTAAGTCAATTTGAGAGAATTTTTTTTTGTGTACGTACAGGGTGATTCACTATATTTTGACCCTCTCATTAACTTTTTTGTTTTTAGAGTTATAAAAGAATGTGAAATACAAAAGTTGCACGAGTTATTTTTCAAAAATGATAGATGATAGAAAAAACAAAGTTAATATCCGCGACCATTTTGTTTGGACTTCATTTGTTTTTCTACTATCATTTTTGAAAAATTCATAAAAATCGTGCAACTTTTGTATTTACATTTTTTATGACTCCTAAAACAAAAAAGTTAAGGGGGGTCAAAATATAGTGAATCACCCTGTACATATTTTTCAGACAAATAGGCCAAATGTCAAATAGCATATTACGTTATGTCACAAAACGAGCAGATACATTTTATAGCATTTCTTTTAATAATATATGACACATTTAAAATTTTGACGAACTTTTTAGATTCACCCTTTATAAAAGTAACATATAACAATCGTACCTATACATTTCCCATAATTATGATTATGGTAATTAAATTATTATGTATTTGTAAATATCCTAAATAAATTAATGATGTTCAGATAAAACGACGAGTGTTAAAACATTTTTAAATTCGTTTGAAAGCAAATTATTTTTATTTCTCAGAAAAATTCTGGTTGATAAAATTCAATGTCATATATTTACAGCACTTTTGTTGAGTATAAACGGGAGGATAAATTAGCTTATGACCTTTATAAAATTAATTAAATAAATATAGTTTAGTATAAACACCATATTTTGGAAATTCACATGGGTCAATACCACCAGCATTCCTAGAACCATATTTGCTGCTATATTTTATGTTTTTTTATTTTTATTGTATTAATATTAAAGGTCTACAAGGTGTAATGAAATGTTCGTGAATGAAATTAAACCGTTGTCGAATAGAATTTTTTATCAATTTTGTTCAAGAAACAGAGATTTTCAGTCAGATTAAGAATACATAAATTTTTCGAAAATAAATTATCTCTAAATAATTTTAGGTTTTAAACAAGCGAATATTCCGAAACACTTTTTGTATGCCCATGAATAAAAATTTCATTGGACATATTCTTTTTTGAAAACCTACAGGCTACAGGTAATTAAAAAACGAAGGATACATTTTTATATTCCAAGCTTTTTTATAATTCTCCACATTTCATTACGTTTTATCCTAAATTTTGGCCTCCAGTAATTGTACTCACCTCACAGGTGTCTTTGATTTCGCTATGTGACCCAGCACAAATCATCAAATCGTCAGATATCCCGTCTTTGATCTCAGTATTCTTTTTGTTTATCTTCCTCTTATACGACTCATTGCATGACGGGTTGTCAAAAAATTCCAGTACCACTTTCAGCAGGTCGTTACTACCCCCTTGAACGGCAAATCCTATGTTACCCCAACCTGTAGCGATGGCTTTTCCATAGGCAATCTCTTTTGTTGTATGGAGACAGGCAGGTCTCGCATAAGTATTTGGGTCGACGTTTTTCGATAATTTTAGCAACGCTATGTCGTTGTATTTGGCCCCTGAATTGTAGTCAGGGTGATACCTTACTTCAGTTACAGTACGTTCTTGAAGGTAATAGGTGTCTGACTGATTGGTCATACCGACCCTAACCAGCTTAGCTAATCCCCTAAGATAACAAGAAGATTATACATATACATATACATATACATATACATATACTTAACCGTAAAGTATTTTTGGATTCTTTGTTAAAACAACAAATTTTGTAAAATATCGTTTATTTCAAATGTTTAGTTTCTTAGATTTTGAAGTAAATTGCATAATAATAAAACTCGTTCTTTTCGTTTTACAATACAAACTTCAGATGTTTAAACTTATTTTAATTAATAAATTAGCACTAAATCCTCCGATAGCTTTTAACGATTGATCTCCAGATGAATGTTGTAAGATATCGAGAAACCAATATGTTAGTGGCTTTGGATTTAAGGAGGTTTATCTGATTTGGAATTGACAAACAAATAATTATTCATAAAAAAATTAACATAAGCTTATTAATGTGAAGAAAATCCTCAAACAAAATTATGACTATTTTGGATACCTAAGAGACGAGATATTAATAAAATAATTTTTCACGATTTAGTACGAAGTCTTATGGGAATGCAGATTTTTTTGGTTTTTCCACTTAGAATGCGCAACAATTGACGAACAATTTCCACAGCAACTTGTGTATAAATAGGAAACCGATATCTAAGGAACCGTATGATAGCTTGTAGAAATCGATTAGGTACTTGTAAGATACATAATTTATAATAATTCTCCTTCAAACTGCTGTCGTTGACTAACTTATCTTCCATATGCGTGATAGTGGCAACGCCGCGGTCTCGACGTAGCGTATTATTTGAAATTTGCAGGTGTCCAAGCAAACAGAACGATCGAACGCAAACGAGCGAACGCCGAAGCGAGCGAGCCAGCCAAGTGCAACGTTGTCAAATCTAAAGGCTTTACTTTAGTCACTAGCGAATCTACAGAAACTCTCGTTAGACTTTAGATGTACCTCCGTACCCGATAAACCTCCTTAACATTGACCTTAAGTTTCAAGGTCAAAACGAGGCCAACTTGTGAAAATAAATGGAATACCCCATTTTTAAGTCATGTCGGAAAATTTTTCCGGTATGTCTTTGCAGGTTATTGTAAAGTTATTTTATCCAAATAACACAATGGGACGTAAAATTAGGCGTTCTATCGACTACTACGCATGAAAATAGGGTGTTTCATTTAATATTTTCAGTTTAGTTGGATCTTGGAACTTAAGGTGAATGTGAAATCCAAGCAGCAATGTATTTGTTTATTGATAAAGTATGGTAAAACCAAAAGAAAATACAAGAAAACAGAAAAAATTGACAGGTATCACACTGTCTATATACAGGGTGATTGACAAATGGAACCAAAAATGAAACCTCGTATTTTTGGTGAATTTTAAGGGGAGTCTTTCCTATAAAGTTTTTACCTAGGACGCTTCGTTAAAAAGATACAGGGTGTTCAAAAAATATTTTTAATTTTTATAAATAATTTAAAAACTAGTAAGTGAAATAGTTTGAAATTGGATACATGTATTAATGTAAACATTATCTAAAATCTGAGGGCTTTCCCTAAAATTTACATGCTCCAGTGGCGGAGATACAGAGTATTGGTGGCATATTTTTCTAAATAAAATAGTACGCCACTGCTTTACGGTAATAATCATATTTTCGGATTCGTCTTTCAATTTTCTACAAATTACTACTCTCTTATGTTTTTCGAAAAAATCCTGATTTTCGAATAAAACTTAAAAAACCAACTAAAAACACTTTTACTTAAATGACATTACAGGCTTAGTTATAAAGAAATTAATAATATTAGTCATCATTCTAATGATTTTATTTGAGTAAACGCTCAAAAACACTTCAATTTCCGCGAACACAGGCGCGACATCTTTTTAGTAACAAAAATGTAATTTGTTCGAAATTTATTGTTGCTTGAATCTGATGAAAATCATTATTTATTCTTTCTTCTAACTGCTCAGAATGTCAAAGTTGCTATCGCCGCTCACTATATAATTTTAAAAAGCATTATATTCGAATATCGAAATGTTTCTCAGTTTGTTTTTGAGTTTTACTCGAAAATCAAGTTTTTTTCGAAAAACATAAGAGAGTAGTAATTTGTAGAAAATTAAAAGACGAATCCGAAAATATCATGACTATTACCGTAAAGCAGTGGCGTACTATTTTATTTAGAAAAATATGCCACCGATGACCTGTAACTCCGCCACTGGAGCATCTAAATTTTAGGAAAAAGCCTCAGATTTTGGACAATGTTTACATAAATACATGTGTCTAATTTCAAATTATTTCACTTACTACTGTTAAAATTATTTAAAAAAATTAAAAATACTAGATTAAAAATTTACACGAAAAACTCCCCTTAAAATTACCAAAAAGTATGAGGTCTCATTTTTGATCACCGTTTCAGAGATACCCTGCATAGGTACAATAAAAGAAATCGTATATATGGTAGCCATTCTACTTACAACTGTCTATGTCTCAAGCAATGGCTAGCTGTTAGTACGTAATTTTCACTTATTAATGTCCCACCACAACTCCATTGTACCTCATCACCTAGGGTGTAACCAATTAAAGCCTAAAAAATATAGTTAATTGTCAAAACTGAAAATTTTCTTCATTTTTTGGGAATCACTTTTTATAAGAAAAAAAGTACATACTTGGCAACTATTAAAAAAAAAAGAAAAAATGTCAAATCTGAACATCCTGATAGAAGTTGTAATTATCATTAATCGAAACTGCCCGATTTTTTCTAAGTTAGAACTATTGAATTTTCCATAATTTTAAACACAATAACGTATTATTAGTTGTTCGTGTTTTTGTTGAAAACGATCAAGTTTTTTTAAACCTAACAAGAGTAAGAAAAGTTTTAGAATTAAATTCAAGTATTACTGAGATATTGATTTTTTCGAATGCCTTTCTGTGTCGATTCTTATGTGAAACACATATACTTGCCAGATACCTGCTTTGATTATTTGCACAATACCTAGTTTGATTTATTTCAGTATTTTTAAAAAAAATTGAAATTTGGTTTATATCTTTGGATTGCAGCTAATAGTTGTTTCTTATTATACAATCTTTTGAAAAAAAATCCTAAAGGTTTCGCCTTTCTTCCTAGTTAATAAGGTAAAAAGCTAAGGGGGTAGAATATTACGTAAATAACCATGTGCAGTGTGCATACCATATGAGGAAATTCCCGCCTTGAAGCCAGTTTACCACCAACAATCAGGGGTATTTTTTCGAAAGGACATTCGAAGGTATTCGATGTGTGATTGAGCCTGCCTAAGGTTGGCGACTGGCTCCTGTCCCAAACGTATTTAGCATACTCCTTACATTCTGTGAAAAAATTATACGTATTTAATATAGAGACTTTAGTTTAATATCTTCACATCAGAGTTTTGTACTTATCAACACAGAATAAACAACTTATAAATATTAATTCAATAACAAATGTTTTCGATAAATAAAAATTAGCTATTACCGCAAAACCATTATTTAAACTGGGTATACAGGGTGTTAGAAGTTTGACTGCCTTAATTTTAACAGACGATATAATACATTAAAATAAACAAAAAAACTTAATGAATTTAAAATTCGATAAAATTCATATCCAGCAATGTGACAACGGCGCGACGGTTTATTAACACGAGGTACTAAGGTGTCCAGCAACTACCAATACGCAATTCAGTTGGTATCTGGATTCTTTTTTGAGGTGTTTTCCTGCGAGTGGTGAAAATTTGATTCGAAGCTGTCGTTCATGCATCGAAAATGGTGGTGGACATTTTAAGCATATGTTTTGTACTTGTACGTTTAAAAATTACTGAATTTTGCTTTTTGGTAAGTACCTAAATTATTTTTAATACGTATGATTATTTGGACGACGTGATTCTTTGGGTACTTTAATTACATCTTTTTCAAATACGTAATTTGATTAAAAGTGAAGTTCCTGTTTTAAGAGATTCATAATTACTAAAATTCGAGCTAAAATTTAAGCACGACACTATCTTCGTACTACAAAATCGATACACTATTTTATTTATTTAAAAACTGGAAAATATTTGTCTTTAAATTTACTAAATGTTTCACAATAATAGCTGTTTACATTTTCTCCGTAGGACAAGTCTGCCGCGTGTACACGTGGTGTGTATCAGCAGGTTAAGCGCTGTCACGTTGTGATGAAACTCCCCAATATTAATACTCGCATTCTGAAAACTATTAATCTTATATCCAACTTTTTTGTTCATTTATGATTACTCTATCTCATGCTGAAGTAATGGCAGTCAAACTTCTTACACCTTGTAGACACATTCCTATAAAGAGATAACTTTAAATTAGTGCAAAATAATCAAGATGAGAACCCTAAGTAGGTTATAAATAAATTTGTATCACTATTTTCATATGACTGGAACATACATATTGTTGTGAAATAATATTTTAGCCAATGTTGTGTTTGTATGTGTTGCGTGTTGTGTTCTTTGTTTTCTTTGTGTAAATATTTTTTTTATGTTGGTTAGCTGCTGATTGTTAAATACAAACCTTTCTTTGTCTCACCGTGTATTATTAGTAATCTCAGGAGTCGGTTCTATTTATTTTAATACACAAACAAGTACAATGCAACACACCAAAAAAATATAGAGATTAAACTTTAATAGAATCTTTGTTCCAAAAATTTTGTGGGTTGACTTAAAACTTGCAACTTGTAACTTAAATTGTGAATATCTTCCTTAACAATAATAAAGAATACTTTATTAATTTTGTTGTCTTTTCTAATCTAGTTAATACAATTAAATACAATACAATACAAGGATTGTTTTTAATTCAAGAAACATTTTACTTTATTAGCAATTAATTTAAACTATTCAATTTTGAATACATCTCTTTGTATTGCATTTTGCCTATCTTACAGTGGTAAGATAGGCAAAACTTACAACTTACAACTGGTAAAGGAAATTTTCTTTTTGATGGCAAATTTCTTTCTTGTGGTTTTGAGAACAAACAAAGTTTTAACTTTCCTGGTAAGTTTAATTTTCTTACTTGACTATTTCTTTCTTGTTCAAATTTAAATTTATTGGAGCTGCCTCTCTACTCTGCATTCTCCAAAAACCCAAACCGTAACCGATCAATAAACTTCTGTTTTTCATCCTTTCTGGATTATTCTGGTCCTATTTTTGCTTAAGGTCCCTTCACAGAATTTTCAGTCCTTGGATGTCCTTTTTTAACAACACTTTTTCACAATACTCCGTATAACTAATAAATTTTTTACAAATGTCCTTTTATTTTAACATACAATTCTATAACTAATTATTAAAATATTCCTTATTTTATGTTTTTTATAGGTCATCTCCAGGTACTTGTAAAGTCAACTTTAGTTTTGACATTTGTGAAAATTATAATTTAATTTGACAATTGATACAAAATTTCATACTATGACTTAAGTTCAATTGAGATATCTTCTATGCAGTTACTCGTCTTCCCAAAATATGCATACCAGATTCATCTATGGATTTTGGGCTTTTATTTGATATACGTCACTCTAGGTTTAAATTCTGTTTTCTCAATGTACTAAGTGTTAACAAGTGTCGATGTCATGCATTTTTTTGCAAAATTTATTTTGTACTTGTGAATTAAATTAAAATTATTAATTAATTTTATTGTTACTAGTTTTATCTTCAGATTCTTTATATTAACAATTTTATACTATTTTATATAAGTTCGGTCTGGTAATTTTTCATTCGTGATTCTTTGTGTACCTTTCCAATTCGTTACAATATCTTTATCGAAATATCAAAATTTTCAAATTTGCCACTAAATATAAAAATATAAACTTACTCTTCTTGCTTATTTCTCCTGCATTTCTGTTAGTGGTTGTAACTTTGGTGGCGATATTTGGAGTCGCTATTTCTATTCGAGGTTGTACAACTTTAGGGGTTACGGGGCTAACATCTTCGCAACAAATTATAAACTGCGTACTCGAAGAGTCGCATACCTCTTCGGGGAAACCACCGTCTTTGATTGTTTGCAAGGCAGGTGCACAGTCCGTGAGGTACTTACATAGTCCAACAGCGGCGTTTCTAAGTCTGCATTCGTCACCTAAAAGATTTAGTAAAATTAACTTTTCTTAGTAATAGATAAAGTAAAGATTTGAAATTGAAACCTTCACTTCTTCTAACGAAGTACCACGGTATTCGTGTAGATGTCGCTATACACAATGCGTTTATAGTAAAAGTTGTACTGCCATTTCATTCATTAATATTCAGTAACCGCAAGGACGAAATAATTGCTCGGCATATGTAAAATCATAGCACCTTGTTTTAATTTTCATTAGACGTATTTTTTTCAAAAGATGAAGCTTTTTGTATACCTTTATATCCACTGCCCCTCATCTCCCGATCTTCCCCCACTACTCGACCGCGTACGCGTGCTCTGGCGTTTTTGAGCATGTTTGATGGAATTTTTCACCTATTTCGCATCGCTTTATCGGAAATTTAAAACATACTTTTTGTAGTTTTATACTTCTACTTTTAAAATCCGGCTGCAAAATTAAAATCGGACCATCTAGAAATTTTGCAAAATTGTGCATCACAAAATTCATATTGCAATTGTCCCAAAACTAATGGTCCGACAGCGCCTGCTTTAAGCACACTTAAAGTACGTATAATTCACTACTTTTGTATACAGGGTCAGCTCTACAACTTAAAAAATGGAGGAGTAATGAATTAAAAAAAAAACGCTAAATTTTCCGATTGTTTCGGGTTTTCTCCGTTTCTAATTATCCGATCGGATCGATCGACCTCTCATTTTATTCGTATTTCGATTCTCTACAAATTGTATCTTTACAGCATTCAAATTGCTTCTTTACTTTAGGTTTTATGAACAAGAAACGTAATTAATTGTAAATTGAAGTAGGAAACATTAAAATCTGTATTTTATATGACGGTACAGTCCGTTTGTTACTAGTATTTTTTGTCACAAAATCACTGATTTAATGCTCAGGAAGACAGGCAATTGACTGGCCTAATTGACTAATCAGGCTTTGCAAGAAAAAGTTGCCGAAAATAAGCTACCATGTACTTTAACCTTTATATAAGATGTAACAACGGCTTGTACTACTACGTCTACCTTGTGATTATAAAAATTCTCGAATATTACGAATGAAATATCATTAATATTTCAGTTTTAACTACAAACTAATGGCATTTATGCAAATATTGTGGATTGACAAAACAGGGTTTCAATTTTCTTAAACACTTTAGGAAACCTTTTATTGTCCGCGACTGTACAAATCTCTCCTTGAATTGACCGTAACCTTTTGACTTCCCGCCCTTGAATTAATTTGTTTATCGATTTATACTAAATAACTGGCTACTGTTGTTAACAACAAATAAGTAAAACTGCAATCATATAGTATCAATTTTATTTTACAACACTTAAAAAATACTTGTTAATTATAGAAATACATTGAACTCACCTGGTTTCAATGCAGAGCCGAAAGCATTTAAAAAGCATAACACGACCAATATTTGCACAACGCACTTGAGGCAGGAGAAGGTTGTCATGATGCGGCTTGGCTAACACTGCAAAAGATTTCTTTGTTTGCTTTGTGTATTAATAAAACTGGAATTTCAAGCTTCGTGATCTGGTGAGGTTAGAAAGAAACAGAAACTAATATGTTAATATCATAATTAATTGATGATAATTTTATATCTCTGAGAATTTGAATTATAATTATGGCCAATTTTTAAATACTAACATATTATCGTAATAATCCGTAAATTTTTGGAAAGGATGTATTATTTATTGCCATCTATTAAAATAAAAGAAGAGATACAGTGTAAGTTATCCAGAAGGCTATTTTTGTTGCTATACCTACATATTTACTTAAGTTTTCAACATATTTTGAATTAAGCAGAAAGAATATTCAAAGAAATATGAATTATTCAAATTTGTTATCCGGTTTATTCTGCAGATAATGGCTGCAAATTTTATCATTTAAATACTTCTAAAGTCATTAAGAAAATTGCTATTTTTTTAAATTTTCTCATTCTTTATTAATGATACATGAAACAATGCTTTTATATTATATAGTTACATCTCTATCAATTCTAGTAAATATGCTAATGCATTTTTTATTTTATTTGTACCTATTGCAAATTATACTTGAAGCATTCTCTTTAAACGCCCACACACACATTTATTTAACGTTTTTTTAATTCTTATTCGCAACCAAGACATCGCCTTCAGTAGTTGGGTCTGGTTTTTATTTTTTTTAATCAAATCTGATATCGTAAACAATTATGCTTACGTAACTGCTTCCACCAACTAATAGTTAATAATAGTTGGTCAAAATATTCTTTACGTGGAAAATATTTTAAATTGTTAATAATTAATCAGTGTTGCGAAGAAATTATCTCAAATTGGTTTCTGTTTGGATACAGAACAACCCGAAATTAGCTAGATTAATCTTATTATTATTAGAATTGTGTTTTCATTAATTAGATAAATGAGTACTAAAGTATAATAACTATTTGGTCTTGAAAATATCAACGAGAATTGCAATGGAAACTGTACGGAAAATTTTCAGCGGATGCTTCATCAAAAGGAAAACAAGGAAAGTAGACAATTATATAAACATTCTTGTCCAAAATATGTATCAGAATAGTACAGATATTTATGAAAATTACCAAAAGATGTACTTAATTCTTTGAATATATAGGGTGTCAATTTAACAAATTTTAGCAAAATCGCATAAGGCGTTTTAAATTTATAAAAAATAAGATTTTAAAGTTGCAACTTCAGGGCCGTATACCACCCAAACGGAGCAACTTCGAACTAAGGTAAGTTTAGTTAAATCGACTATTTTGAGCCGTACTGTATCACGTTGTAAAGACCTTTTAAGGACACCCCTAAGCTAAAAGTAAGATTATGTAACACATAATGCTTTCGCCGTATCACTGTTTATTCAATGCCATAGAACACAGATGCCATCAATTAAAATATGGCCTTAGACGTAATAATACACAATGTACACCTACCATAAATGCTTGTAGATTGGATCTTATTAACGAAATGACCAAAGTGTTTTGTGGGTGTCTGGTAAAATTGTGTTTCACATATTAAAACCTTTAAAAATTGATTGAAAGAACATAGGTGACCACACTAATGGTGACGCTGTTAAATGAGTAAACTGTTATACGTATTAATTTTATGATCATTTTATTAAAAATATACTATGGTGTAGATGTAAGGACGTATTATTTTAAATGTCTTGAAACTAATATTAATTTTTTATTGTAGATACAATGACTAAGCCAACTTTTTGATATATTTTCAATCTTCTTCAGGGTTATAAATAATAAAATTGGCATAAGAATATTGACCGTACAAGAACTTACAAAAAACTGATTATTTAAATAATTGCCATCAACGTATCACTTCCGGTTATACCGAAAGTAGCTGTCAACTTCGTTATTTTAAATGGAACACCCTATATATTATTCCGGTATAACCGGAAGTGCTACGTTGACGGCATCATTTTCATTGAAGAGAAAATATCTGATAACCCTCGTAAACAAAATTTCAGAGTCATATTGCCTTTGGTTCCTCTGAAACGTCTAATAGGCCACTTACCGTGAAGAACCCTGTATATTTTTTAAGTTATAGTTAAATAATAATTTCATACAGAAATGAAAAAAAAAACAGTTTTTCGCCACACAAGTACTATTCGTACGAATTTTGGATGCTGCCAAAATAGTTCGTTTTATTAGTTCAGATATATTTTTTTCGATTTTTGTATGAATTCGCTTCCAATGTATTGACCCTTTACTTACCGAACATGTGTCCTTAATGGCAGTGGAAGATCCTGCGCAAATCATTGACTTAGACATAACCCCCTTCTTTATCTTGGAGAAAGATTTCTTTATGTACTTTTTGTATAAATGGTCGCACTTTTTGACGTCGAAATACTCCAAATAGGCCTTCAGCAGATGATCCTGTCGTTCTACAGAATTCAGGTAGGTGTCTCCCCAACCAGTGATGATAGGCTGGTACATCTGAATATCCTTTTCTAAATTGAGACAAGCCGGTCTGACATGATCGTTGAGGTACACATGCGTGGATAGTTTCAACAATCCGATATCGTGATATATCAAATCGTTCGTGTATTCAGGATGGGGTATTAGTTTGCTCACATTTACCTCTTGCAAGTGGTTGGTGTCTTTGATGTTGGTTATACCAAGACGTACCATCTTCGCTGAGCCACTGTCATATTTTGAAAGAACGTATCAGATTACTTCACCTATGTGGTTTTAAGCTGCTCTTTAGAACTAACAAAGAAGGATGTGTAAAACACCGTTATAAATAAATCTCAGGGTCAGGCAAAAGTCGCTCGGGAATTCGCTCCTTTTGCATTAAATAGAGCTTAGCAGTTAAATAAATTTACATGAGCTATCGATGTAAAACTTTGAATGACCGGATTAGTATTATTTTCCAAATTTCACATACAGGACCCTTAATACGGCAGGAATACACCAACTGTACCAGCTCTACTCTCTAAATAATTTAAATATTCAATTTTGAAAGAATGAAATTGAATTTTGAATGTTTCATAATAGTGAATTTAATTTAACCATTAGGTATATGAATAAAAGCTAATCTTTCGACAAATAAGCAGTATATACACTTACAATTCAGATTTATGTAAGCAATGGGCTGCAGTTAGAACAAAATTTTCGCTGATCAATGACCCTCCACAGTTCCAAGTTATTGTACCTTTATACTCGTAACCGACAAGAGCCTGAAATGAATTTGGATGGCTCAATGTCCAAACTTTTCTTCTCCAAAAGGACAAGAAGTTAAATTAGCAAAAAGATGTACCTGGTGATTTTCTATTTTTTTAATGGGATACCCTATACCTGAATTAATTTATTGATTCGTTCAATTCTAAACATTTTTTATATAACGAGTCATATATTCAAAGTTAAGGGTCTTTGAAATATTAACAAATAATAATTAATAAAAAAACTAACTACTGAACTCATATAAAAATTAATGTTCTTAAATAGTGAGCTGATCCACAGGTCCTCCATCTTGCTCGATGCATTTTAGTAATGTTCTTCGAAGTTTGGTCCAAAGATCCCCTTACAAAATCTGAGTGGTTTTCATTTCGTTCCTAATTAGTTGCTTTAAATGTTCTATATATTCAGTATAAATTTGGTAAATGCGATTTTTTAAATATTCCCATAGAAACATTGAAGTAAGATCTGGACTGTTGGCTGGCCAGTTAATTGGTGCATTTCTTCTACCAATCCATATGTTAAAATGTTGATTTAAGTGTTTTCCCACTCTTAAGGTGCTATGGCGTGGGGCTCCGTTCTGCTGGAATATAATATGTCCAAAATGCTGCAAAGGTAATTCATCTAGAAGCATTAGTCCGCACCAAACGTTAAGGGACTGGCGTCCTTGAAATCTAGATTATCTGTAACAGAATGGGTTTTCTATCGTAGAGTTGTCCGTCCATAAGATGTTTCTTAAAAAGTTGGGATCATCACTCATTCTTTCCATCATAAGGCGGTAGAATTCTACACTCTTTTCTCTATGCGTCTGTGTCAATTTTGGAGTGGATCTGTTATTGAAAGGCTTGTAACCAGCTTTCTTAAGAGTCTTCTGAACTTTTGAATAGGACGTATTATGGACATTCCTTTCTTATAAACTTTTTGAAATATGCCTTACAGGGTGTATTTAAATGGAGGGGCATAAATGATACCAGATATTCCTTGGGTGAAAATAAGTCCATTTGACCTAACATACCTATATCCCAAGTCGCATAATAAAAAAGATACAGGGTGTCAAATTGAAAAATAAAAAATGGTCTTTCCTTAATAATTTCTACAATTTCAGTCAGAAATGTTTAAAATTTTCTACGCAGAGGGCGCCTCGTACTCGACACTCAAAAATCATTATTATATTATTTTTCCCATCATTAAAAGACCTCTCTGTTGAAAATTTGAAACGTTTCTGACTCAAATTGTAGAAATTATTAAGGAAAAACTATTTATTATTTTTCACTTTGACACCCTGTATCTTTTTTATTATGCGACTTGGGATATAGGTATGTTAGGTTAAATCGACTTATTTTCACCCAAGGAATATCTGGTATCATTTATGCCCCTCCATTTAAATACACCCTGTATATTGTAGAGATCAAAACGTGCATTTTTAATTGAATGTGTAGAAACATGTAAAGCGTGTGCACTATTGTACTTTCGCAGCTGCCTAATGAATATTATTTTACAGCTTGACAGCCGCGATAACCGCGAATTTATCAGGTATCAGTTTACTTTCGAGAAATTATAAGCGGATCCTGGACGTTGTAATCTGCTCCTACGACTGTGGAAACAAAGATTTATACAATGCATTAATAATAATTTCACTTCGCCTGCACTATACATCATACGATAATAATAATGCTGAAATTTAATACTGTTTTTATAAAAAATACTTCGTTTTGCAAAAAGAATGAAAAGGGTGATCTTAATATTTCATATATTTTTGTTGCAAAAACATCAGTATTACTTATATGTATGCAAATATCTGCAAGATGTTTGATGTGATTCAATGAAATTTTCGTTGATTTTATTCGAAAAACTAGTAATTTTCGGATTATTATTATTATTTTGGTCTAAAACAAGCTTGTCTTATGTTGAGGAAATGAACAATAAT